AGGTACATAATAAGCAAGCCAATTGGTCTGAAGGGATATCCTTTGCTTGTGTGGCAAGACCAAGTCTTGTTCTAGGATATCCTTAGCTTGTGTGGCATGACAAAGCCTTTGTTCTTTGAGATGATCATGAGCCACAAATGATGATATCCTTAGCTAGAGAATTTAAGAAATGTGTTTTCTGTGTCCCACTAATTATGTTATTTGTTTTGTTAACACGTACCGTGTCAAGGGTCTACGGCACACCTCATCAAGGGTGTCCGGTTCTCATCACACACGTCGGCAACACATCGCAAAAAAAACAAAAAAACAAAAAACAAAAGAACAGGAAAAAAAGAAAAAGAAAAAGGAAATATCTTTTAAGATCCCCCTGTAATGAATGATGGCAAACATCCAAAGATATATCCACTAGACAGTTTTTTATTGAAAGAAAATCGCATTGAATTGAAAAACAAGGAAAATTACAACCGACCTGCAACTTTTTTGTAACAAAAATGGAAACAAATCATCTTATATATTTTGACAGAAAAAAATAGCATTTATTAAGGTATTGCTTCTTCTTCAATCCTTGCTTGGAAAAAATAATCATTCCTGATTTGTTCCATGAAGAATGCGTCAAGTTATTTTAAAAAATAACAATAAAAATCGCTATATATATATATATATATACTAGAGAACTATCCATTGTACATACTGTGTACCATTAGGGTTAAATCTTATAGTTTGCAGAGCTTTCGTGTACGGCTGCTCTCCTATATTCAAACGTTTTGTTCAGTCATGGAGATGATCATGCATCCGGTGAGTAGTTTTGCCGAACTTTAATTCATTTATTTCAATCATAAAATAGTTGATTCATGCTTTGATTACTAGATATATTAGGTTGACTTCATATTTTTCCATGACAATCTTTTTCTGTTATTTTCAAGAAAGAAGATAGCTAAATTTATTTTCTTCATAGGAAAACGGAAAACATTTATTGTAGGAATTCATGAATTTTTCATGGAATTATATAATCGTGGGAATGTGAATGCATCGGATTCTATCAAACCTTTTTTAATTATTACTCAAATTCTATTTTTGCTTACTCTAACTTTGTTTCGCTATATGTTTTCACACTAGACCCTTTATCAAACTCCCTGTTGGTAAGTTATCTCACACTAGTCCGCATAAGAAAGGCCGTTCAAAGTGGAGGCTCTCGATTGTCCACACCAACTTCATCTGCAGGAATTTGTTGTGGGTATAAGAAAGGCCTTGGAGGCATTTGGAGGCTCTCAATTTCTCCTTCAAGCATCTCCACTACTTTATTCATTGAAGGGCGTTCAATAGGCTTCATTTGTATGCACCATAAAGCCACCATCATCATCTTCTTTATGATCTTCTTTTCCTCATCTGTTGCATCATCTCCTATTTCTATGTCCTTTCCTGCCTTCAACTGATCAGAAACCCATGTCGGAAAGTAGATTTGGCTAAATTGGCTTGATTGTTCTATACCCGCATTCAGGTTTTTCCTTCTACCAGCCATTTCCATCAATAGCATTCCGAAACTATACACATCGGCTTTGTACGAAACACCTCCAATGTTTTTGTAGAACAGTTCTGGAGCAATGTATCCCATGGTTCCTCTTGCTGCAGTCAAAGATACAATGCTATTATCCAATGGATATAGCTTTGCTAACCCAAAATCAGAGACCTTGGGAGTAAAATTCTCGTCTAGAAGAATGTTGTGAGGCTTGATGTCAAAGTGCAAAATTTGCATGTCACAGCCTTGATGGAGGTAATCAATACCACGGGCCACCCCAAGTGCGATTTCAAATATTTTCAGGCAACTTAAAGACGCATCTCTTTGTTGAGAAAAAATGTATTTGTCAAGAGACCCATTAGGCATGAAATCATATACTAGAGCACGTTTTGAACCATCAACACAGAAGCCAATGAGTCGCACAACGTTAACATGACGAATCCTTCCAATTGTACCAACTTCATTAATAAAGTCTTGCCCATTAGTTTTGGACTTACCCAACATCTTGGTGGCTACAAGGCGACCACTGCGGAGCTTTGCCTTGTATACAGAGCCATAGCCTCCTTCCCCCAATTTGTCCTTGAAACCTCCGGTCATCTTTTTTATGTCCGAGTAAGAGTACCTTATTGGCATGAGATTATGATTACTCCGTAGAAAATCTTCTATATTGTCATACATTGACAAGTGCCTTCTTTGCCATTTGTATATTAGCAGTGCAATTAAACAACAAAAACCCAATGAAAATTTGGCTGCCAGGTATATTGCTGCATGGTTCGCAAAAGTGGAATTAATGAACACGAAGTATAATATAATATACTCCTTTGCAAATCCATCTCAATCAAAATAAGAATATTAATGTTCCAGTGATCCACACAAGTTTTCTCTTACCTAGGGAAGCGACTGCACATCCCAGAAGCTGGCCAAGGTATAATCTGTAATCATACATAGGGAAACGCCGTTCAAAGTGGAAGAGCGAATATATTTTCTCAAGCCCGGGTCCTGCAACAGAAGTAAAGAAATCAATCGATCAATGGAATGACTAAGGTGGTTAGTCAAGCGAAAAGGCCAAAGAAAAGTAAACGTCTATTTACAGAGTTGAGGGATCCACTCGCCTACTTTCTGGATTATGTGCCTTATGATCTCGTCGTACCAAGGGACTACATTGCGAAAGAAGACAGTAATATTATTACATAGTTTCAGAGGGCACTATGGTTAGACCAACATAAATTATACACAAATTATGAAAAGAAAACTGTAATATTATTATCTTCATGAGCCAGGGTGCTACGTACACATTGAAAAGAAAACTGTGACTGTTGGAAATCACAGTTTAACTTCCAAGGGTAAAACTGATATTTAACGTAGTTTGAGAGGGCACTATAGTAAATAACTCATCTTTAATATATAATTTATAATTTAAAGGTTTGGCAATTGTCTAACCTCCTAGTGGTGAGCATTGAATTCCATTGCCGGTGCTGTTCAGCCTGCAAAATTCCCCTGATCCGCACTTTCCTATACATGCATGACGAAGCCATGAGAGTTCAAAGCCATGCGCTATTTCATTATATATTCCTTTGCAAGACGTCATGTGGTCCTCAGTTGAAGGGGACACCATAACCATTAGTGTTATTTTGCAGGAATCCCCCAAATTGTTTAAACTTAGGGGATCCCCAACCGGAAATTTTATGAAATAAGAATATGCTGTTAAATTGGAGAAAGAAGAATTGGAAGAAGAATAGTTGTTGACCCCACTGATGCATGGAGCTGTTTCAACAATGAGATCGGAAGGATTCATTGGATTTTCACAGCTCAGGAAGATTATAGACATTGATGATGCATCTGGGTAATAATCATAAGGACCTGTATAATCAGAGTAATAATAATAAGAAAAGTTGAAGGGGGTCAAGGAGTAGAGTGGGTGGGAGAAGTAGTTGTCCTTGATCTTGTGAACACCAGCATCCACAAGTCGGATTGTGAAGTTATTGTAATTGATTGCTTGTACGTAATACTTTCCTGATAACAAGTATAGCACTGCATGATGAGTAGTACCATTTCCCTTGGCCTCACAAGATAGCTCGAAGCTTTTGTCGCCGCAGTGTTCAGAGTCTCCTTTCAATCGGAATGGAGAGCTTATGTTAATATTTCCACAAGAAGGGGTACAATCAGAGTTATCATGAGCTTTATTAGTTGTAATATTATTGGAAGCTGTTTGGGAACAAGAGGAAGGAACAAGAAGAAGAAGAAGGAGCACTGTATAAGCAGCAAATAGGAGACTTCCTCCAGACATGCTGTCAGAGCAGAAGAAAGAGATTTTCAATTTAGTACAGTTAATTGAAACCTTTAAAGAGATAATCAGATTAAAAAAAATTAAGGAGATTCACTATTATACCCAATATAGGGGCTCAAATTATAAAAATACCTCATATGAAATAGACTTTAGAAACACACCCAAAGCCCATTTATCACATAACAAAAAAGAAAACCCAAGTCCATATCATATCATATCATCTTCAAGGATACTTGTACTCTGCAAATAATTTCTTGCCATCATGAATTTCTCACGGTGGTTGCTCATGATAGTCGTAATAGTAGTAGATGCAGTCAATGGTGGAGTAGGCCATGAAGATTGCAGAGAAACAAGATGTGGCCCGGGAGAACCAGCCATCCGATACCCATTTCGACTTAAAGGTAGTCAGCCATTCCATTGTGGCTTCCGGGGATTTGATGTTTCATGCACTGACGACAACCGGACTATACTTGAGTTACCATCGTCGTCAGCTAAGTTCCGTGTTTATGAGATTAACTACAAATCTCATGCAATTAGTGGTTATTATGATGGTTGTTGCTTTCCTAGGGAGTTGTTTTACAGTACTGGTTCTTATCCGTTTGAATTCGTAGGCACCGCAACCTTATTCAGTTGTCCACCGTCAACGGTAAGAGATGAATATTGTTCCTATGATTATCATCGTCTGGCGAGATTGAGCCCATGCCATGGCAACAATTCTGGTAACCATATTTACGCTGTCCTTGGTGATTATTGTTTCATTGATAACATGCCCCTAGTGTCTTGTATCAAGTTGCATGACTACACATCAGATCCTGAGATGGAAGAATTATTATTGCATTGGTCCATTCCATCATGTGAACATTGCAAAGGTATTTTACACTCCAAGTTTACTTTCCAACTATAATTTCAAGATTAATTGAAGATTCTATGCAAACTATAATTTTGGATTTCATTGATTTGAAAACCGGCCCTTATTTCATGAACAACTTTTACAGGTCGTAATCTTAGAAGGACAAATCTGAAGATATTAGGTGAGCTATATCCACAGACCTTCATTTCATCTATTTTTTTTCTTCCTTTTTCTTTCTTTTATGAACGTAATGGTGAGGAAATTAATCAAGGGTATGTTTGGAACAGAGTTTAAAATGGCTAAAAGCTTTAAAAAAAATGTTTGACACAAAAAGAAAATATTTGCAGGTATTTCCGCACTCTGTTTAGTTCTAATAGCGACGGGGACGACAATCTACTATGTCTACAACTCAAACAAAAAGGAAAAAGAAAATCAGCTTAGAATTGAAAGATTTTTAGATGAATACAGAGCGATGAAGCCAAGTAGATATTCGTATGCTGATATTAAGAGGATAACAAGTCAATTCAAGGAAAAGTTGGGTCAAGGTGCCTACGGAACAGTGTTCAAAGGAAAGCTTTCCTCCGAGTTACTTGTTGCTGTGAAAATCCTCAACAATTCAAATGAAAATGGGGAAGATTTCATAAACGAAGTGGGGACAATGTGTCAAATCCACCATGTCAATGTGGTTCGCTTGGTTGGAATTTGTGCCGATGGATTTATTCGTGCTCTTGTTTACGAACACTTACCAAATGGCTCTTTGCAAAATTTCTTATCATCAGCAGATAATAAGAATTCATTCCTTGGTTGGAATAAGTTGCAAGATATCGCTCTAGGAATAGCTAAAGGAATTGAATATCTTCACCAAGGATGCGACCAACGAATCCTACACTTTGATATCAAACCACATAATGTATTGCTAGACCAAGATTTCACTCCAAAAGTTTCTGATTTCGGTTTAGCCAAGTTTTGTGCTAAGGATCAAAGCGCAATATCGATGACTACTGCAAGGGGGACCATGGGCTACATTGCACCCGAAATCTTCTCAAGGAACTTCGGCAATGTCTCCTATAAGTCGGATGTCTATAGTTTTGGAATATTGTTACTTGAAATGGTTGGAGGCAGAAAAAACTTTAAAGTCATGGAGGACTCCACTAGCCAAGTCTATTTCCCAGAATGGATCTATAACCTATTAGAGCAGGGCAACGACCTACGAATTCATATTGGGGACGATGAAGGAGATGTTACAATTGCTAGGAAACTTGCAATTGTGGGTCTATGGTGCATACAGTGGCATCCAATAGATCGTCCTTCCATGAAAGTTGTAGTTCAAATGTTGGAAAGAGAATGTGAGAATCTAGCCATGCCTCCTAATCCTTTTGCGAACACTTCAGGTTGAAGGAGAATTAAAGAACAGACCTCTACGGTGAAGAAACACTTCTGCCTGAATAGATTATACCACTCACTTCTAAGACGAGTCATCGAGTGTTATTGCAATAAGATTGTTATAGTATTGTCGTGTTAAGCAGATTGTATAATTAAGAAAATGGTTTCAGTTTCAATAAATTTCAATGTGAAGTAATTTATTTTTGGTCGAACAATGTGAAGTAATGGATAGTAATAATTCATCGAAACTTGATGTACATGTTATAATTACGTAACATGATGTCTTTTTCGCTTTTTTCATTCATCTGCAAATCAAAAGTCAGGTGTATCTATTGTTTACTTCCACCCCTCAATGGGACAATAAACTAGTCTATTCATAGTTTTAACGGAATAAACTAAACTAAAACAGAGCTGTTATAGACAATAACATTGTTTTAAGATAATAAACTAGTCTATTCATTGGACGTATTGTTTTCAAAACTGCTGAATAATATTCAAACAGAGCAGTTATAGAGGTAATTTGTCTATTTATCAATGTCCAGATGCTGAGATACCCCGAGGAAATTTCCCTTCAGGTCAAGAAGACTAATGAAATTTCCAAAAGGTTTGAGGGCATATAATATATAGTGAAGGACTTGACCAAGTCAACCAACACATATATTTATTTTATCTTTTATTTAAATTATTTGAAAATAATAATAATAATAAATAAATAAATAAAAAGACTAGTGAGGTTTCAATGGTGGTTGGTCTTTTAAGTTAACAAACTTACTTGGACATCGATAAGTACAATTCTTTTTGTTTATTGTTTATTGTTTTTGGGTTGTTTTGCATATGAAGTTTAGTACGTGTTGACGTGTACTATAGTTACGACATTTTATGTGGACATCCTAAAAATATTAAATTGAAAATCAAAGTCGTACACCAGAGCGCGTATGCATTTATTGACAAAAAGTATTTTAGAAGAGAAAATATTTATGGCCAAAAAAATGCCATTTTTCCCTTACTAGATCAGAAAGAAGAAGTGTTACGAGGAAATGTGATAATTTGGTTAAAAATAACTTTTGGCATTTTGATGTAGCTTGGAGTAAAAGATACCCCATTCAATTGCATTGAAAACTTCAAATTGATAAGAAAATAATTATCAAGAATGTTGCTATTTTCACCCACATGTTCTATTTCCCACCGACCTTATTTTCAAAATTTTAAAGACAAATTTACCCCTTTATAAAATAACCTCTAAGGACTTAATAAAAAACTCTTTAACCCATCTATTCTACCAAACAATAAATTAAAAAAAGCCTAACTCCTCAGCATGACTTTTAACTTTTTAGATCAAGTACAAATGAATTTAAAATATATAACTTCCGTGGATAGGAAAAGGTATATCCATCATAAAGTGGTACATAACCACCTAGCAAAAGACACATGATTCTCGGTTTTAGAGAATGGTTTTCTGCAAAGTTTAGTAAGACACAACCATACTTTATAAAATAATTTGTTTTAGTTTTTGTTTGATATAAGAAGCAAAGTTTAATACATACCATGGTTATTATAATTTGAATTATAATTGTTCAAGCACTTTTAGAATGTTATATATGTGATATAATTTTAGTACTAGTTCAATTGCATAAAGCAACAAAAGTGCTAAAAGAAATTGATTGGAAAATCAAGGATTAGTTTTATTGAAATCAATCAACTTTAAATGAATATTGGAGATGCAAAGGAGTTATTGCATTGATATTCATATGGGACATTGCTAAGAACAATTTTTATAATGTCTAGGTTTTAACTATGGATTGAAAAAGGTACTCAATCTTGATAAAGATGAGTAGGAAATCTAATAAAGATGAATATGACATAATACTAGTTGAAATGTCAAGGTATAATCCAAGTCATGTTACTAAACGGATCCTTGAAGGATAAATAAAGAAAGATCTTTGATAACATGAATTATCAAAATTTATATTGCCAAGTATTTGAAAAGGCAAGGAAATTAATTTAAGGACATAGCTATGTGAAGATATCAAGCATATATATCATATATATTAGAATTTGATTTTGTAAGTAAGTTAAACTTACAAAGGTTTGATGTGAGACATCAATGGGATAGTGTTAAAGTCCAATTTTATTAAATCATCAATGGTGGAAACTCAACTCAACACTTGATGAAACATCATGTTCTTGAGTTCAATGAGCGAAGTACATCATATGTAGTGGTTGCAAGCACTAAGTGTTCTAAGGAAAAGGAGAACATGTTATATTTGAGTCCAAGATGATGTTTATTTTGCTATATTCATCAGCTGTATTTTGAATTAAGGAAGAAAAAAAAGGTTGACCCATGATACATGCTATAATTAATTTGAGGATATAAAGCCATATTGTGGTTGAGCATACCAAAGTGAATAAAATTGTTAGTATTTATATTTTTGTGATACAAACACTTGAGAAGAATAATGGAATGCAAAGAACCCATTAGTATAGTGGTTTGGAGTGATTGCTTTTTCATGCGTCTTGAGTTCAAGTCCTAGCATCTGTGTAGTGTGTGTGAATTTAGATTATTATTACTCCTATCAATAGAAAAGGCCCTCAAAAAAGAAAAAGAAGAAGAATGGAATATTGATCTTCCGAAGTAAAAAGTAAATGCTCTTAATCACTAGAGACTGCAAACTGCATGAAATATTAATTTTTCTTCAATGTGTAAGTGTAGTGTTTTTGTGTTTTAAGTGTAATAATTGGATGAGAGCATGTCAATATTTCTGGTGAATGCCTCTACTTAATTATTATTTTTAAGTTTTTATCAAGAAGCTCTAAGCTCTTATTATTAAGTTATTACAACACTAATGACAAGACCCGACCCAAATTTCAATTTGGAATTTGTGGGAGTCCCTTTTTTTAAATGTTGAATAAGAAAAATAAATGTTATTATTCTTAAGTAATTATCTTGGTAAGAAGGAAAAGTATATGTTTATAATACCATTTCAATAGTTATATGAATATTATTTCATTAAATATATATATATATGTATATACATTTTTTTCGAATATTAAAAAAAAAAAAAAAAAAAAAAAAAAATTATTCCTTGGATGCTATTAGATGGTTATTGGGTGCTTTATATATATATATATATATATATATATTAATAACATGGATTAAGAGTTTAGACGTGGCATTCTTACATTGTTTTCTTGGAGAGAAAGATTGTTCTCTCTTATCTTAATTTGGAGATATATTTAAATTAGTATGCTGGAGGTGGCTTTTTCCATTAAATTAGTTGATGCATTACCATGCATTTGGACAGCTCATGCTTACAATATGGTGACTAGGCTTTATCTTAGCTTGAGGAGGAGTTTATAAGTTCAATAGGTGGCATAGCCTTTGGAAATATATCTCCTGGCGTTGACACATATCAGCTTATATAAAAGAGTGGCAACCAAGTTATCTTTTTGTATAGATAAGATAATGGCCTTTGTTATTATCCTCTCCATTGTTACCGCCATCTCACCACCTATAAATAGGAGTGTTAATAAGGAAGAGATATCATGCAATGAGAGAGAGAGAGAGAGAGATGATGAAATTCTTGGAAGAGATACAGGGCTTAGCTTGTATTTTCTTAACTTGGAGCAATGATTTGGAATCGAGGTAGGGATTTCATGGGGGCCTTTACGGGGATTGATCTAATTAAATTTCTTGAACTCTATATCATGTGTGATATTGTATATAGGATATTTATGTATTGTGAACTATTTGAATAATGTTGGCATAATTATATCATGTCATGGAAATTGGTTGGAGTTGTTGGGTTGAGAAAATAATGATGGAAAATAGGGTAATGGAAATAGTCTTTTGTGTAGTTGAGTCTAACTCTTGGGAGGTACCAGGTCTCAGGGATCCTATAGTGCACATGGTTTTTATTGGGTGATTCGGGACTGGCGAAAGAGGGATAGACAAGATGACTAACAAAAGGAGAATTATGGGATGATTGAAATAGGTGTTAATTCATATAAATGGGCATTCGGGACTAAGTGGTATAAGCATGGTATGGGATGTGCAGGTTTGCTTGTCCAGTTATATGAATTAACGGGATTAGATGAAGAGCATTCATGCATTAATATTATTAATGTGATATTTGGTTGTGTGATTGCATGTCACTTAATTTAGTTATATCAATCTACTGTGGTAATGTCTCATGTCCCTACTGAGCTGTGGTTGCTTACCCCTCACCCTGTTTAATTTTTCAGATAAATTAGTAGGCAAGACAAGGACTAAACCAGTTGAGGCTGAATTATATGAGAGTGATAGAGCTTTATTTTTTTTACTTGTAAAATTGTAAGATTTTGGGAGCTATTTTTATAAGAGAAGTTTATTTTAAACCATGTTTCGGCTTCTTTTTATTTTATTTTTTCACGCACCAGGCGCGGGGTTTCTATCGACCTTCGGTCCGGGGCGTGACAGAATGGTATCAGAGCTTTAGGGATTAGATACCTTTAGGGATTCTATCACTTTCTGGAAAAAAAAAGAAAAAAAGGGTCTCTGAAGTCCTATACCAAAAGGTCAAGTACAACTAGAGGAGTGTTTTTAGTTCTTGGACCCAGGCCAAAAAGTGGTCAGAGTGGCCTGACACACGGCCAAGTCGCCGACCAAATTGGGTGTCTAGACTCTTCAAACCACATAATCGACCCAAACCAACTACATAAACGGATAGAACATGGAAAAAGGATGAAAATCCATACCTTACTTGACGGAGCAGCCGGAGTCGCTGGAAAATGCCTAGATATCGGCCAGCGTCAAGGGAGTGTTTTGGGTCGGGTTTCAGTTAAAAAATCCAGTTGTTCTTGAAGTTTTTGAGTTCGACTGAGGGTTGGGTTAGGTAGAGGAGACCTAGACGAAGATTTTGTGGGTGGTGGTGCCGCTTGGAATGACTGGATGGTGACAAATTTCGCCGAAGAAGATGAATAGTCATTGTGTAACAGCGACTGTGTTGAGAGGGAGAGATGCGCGAGGGGAAGGAAAATTTGACTTTTAACACTTAACTTGTATGGTTGTGCCCTTGCACTTCTACAAATCGTAACTTTCTCGTTTCAACTTTGATTTGGGCCTACTACGTGTCTATGAACTCGTGAGCTCACCTACTACGTGTCTTTGAACTCGTGAACTTGTCATAACTATGGGAGATGTTAGTATTCTTGGTGGCAGTAGAAGAGTTGAGTTCACTATCCTTTTTAGCAAGGGAACGTTTCAACTTAGATATATTCTCCCTTAGTCCAGACATCTTCTTTTCATAACGGATCTACTCAACTGAGAGCTTGCCAGTCAGAACAGCATTCTTCTTCTCTAACTCGCTGAGTTGAGCAGAAGAATGGGTAACAGCAGATGAGTTTCAGATGGCCTCGATAGCAAATACTACTCATTTTTTAAGCAAATGAACAACCGTTTCCTTTTGTTTCTCCAAGGAAAGACTTGAGAATGTGCCAAGGTTACCAGCCTGATGGATATGATCAACCAGCTTGACGTAAGCAGACGGGCTTGACAAGAAGTACGTCTTAAGCAGATCAGATACACCTGTATCCCCTGTAGGGTTGGACTTGTCAGCCTTGGGATTAGTTATTCGTATTTCAGAAGAACCCTTCACCCGGGCAGATGACTTTTTTGCCTTCTTGGCCGCCGCCATCCTCGCCTCCAAATGAGTCAACGAAGCCAAATAAGCTCAATGTTTGACTACTCATGGCTCAACAATTGGATTGCTATGGTTAGGCGGAGGAGGGCCTTTGGCCAACACACCCTGGTGTGGTCTTTTCACTCCGTGTTATTTTGCAAAGAGAAAGACGAATATTCTCTAGGGAGAAAAATCACTCCCACAACAACCATATTTATGTTGTCCTTGGTGAAGATTATTCCGTTGATGATTATCCAATTGATGAAATGCCCCTGGTGTCTTGTACCAAGATGCATGACTACACATTAGATCCTGCATATATGTTTGAAATAAAAACAAGGTACATTGATGGTCTGAAGTTGCATTGGTCCATTCCATCATGTGAACATTGCGAAGAGATGGGCAAGACATGTAGATTCATTCCAAGTGTACTTTCTGACAAGGGTTTCTGATCATTTGAACATTAACTAGTTTGTCTTTCATTGATTTGAAAAACCTAGTCCTGATTTCATAATTAACTTTTACAGGTCATAATCTTGGGAGGACAACCCTAAAGATAATAGGTGAGCAATTCGCAGGCCTTCATTACTTTTATGTTTTTGTGCGTTCTTTCTTTTTATGAAGGATAAGGGAGGAGGTCGAATAGAGGAAATTAAGGACATGTTTGGAAATGCCTTGAAAATGGCTAAAAATACTTTTGATAACATTTGACAGAAAAAGTTAGAAATGCTTCTATGTTATTGAAGCACTTGTAAAGTGAGTTTTTCAGGAAGCACTTGAATTTTTAATACAAATCTTAGACGTGAACAAAAGTGCTTACCACAAAAGTGCTTATGAATACAACATTCAGCTATCTAACTATGATCAAATAAATAGATACACACAACATTTCCTATAAACAATGAAAATATTCACAGAATAATTAAATGGTTAAAGGATTTTTAATTTGATTTTGTTTTTTGTTTTTTTGTATTTTGTTTTTGTTTCCATAGATGTATCATGAATAATGACCATTAGTGGAGTTATTAAGATGCAAGGAGATGTAGCTGCACCTTTTTCCTCGCCAAAAAATCCTATGGGATGCCAAAATCTGCCCCTCTGCTATAGTGCCCACCATGTGTTCGACTAAATGCCTCAAAAAGACTTTGCCCACTGTCTAAAGGAATTAGTACCAATTAGTTTATTACGTATAAATTATAGTGTATTTGGTTGTCTAATTTTCTTTTTGTGGCTTTTAGCCTTTTCAATATTGCCCTTCTCTTGAAAATTTACTTACTCCACCGTTAATGATTACCTAAAACATGAATGGTTCAAATAATGAGATGACCTTATTAACTTACTAATTGAATCTGCGCTTAGCGCTCTTCTAGATATCCAAATAAACGAGCCTTGGTCGGCAGGACAATAAACCAGTCTATTTTTTTGTTGCAAGAGAATAGACTATTTTCTCCACTAAACTAAGAAGTTTTCAGATATTGTGCTCAAAACTGCTGAATTTTTAAACAAAATTGTTAAACTATGTTTATACCATATTTGACCAAGCAACTAGAAGCAACTCTAGGCAAAGCAAAGAGTCCCACATTGGAATATTACAAGAAGTGAATGCTCCCCATCACCTATAAAAGAAGACCACTCACCCCTTAGAAAAGGATCCTTGGGCTGGGCTTGATATTTAGTCATGGCCTTCTCATTTCTTACATTTAAATTTGGGTCCAACCCCATGTACAAATGTAAATACACAATATTATAATAATGAGAATATACTTCTCCGTGGACGTAGCCCATTCATTAAGGGTGAACCACGTATATCTTGTCTTCTGTATGTTTATCGCTTGCTCCAATCCTCACACACTTGGTGAAGGTCCTCACCTTCACCCATCATCCATCACACCTCATCACTAAGTTGGCCTCAAAAGTGCCGAACCATTTTTGAGCGTCAACAGTTTGGCGCCGTCTGTGGGAATCGACACAAAGAGCTTCTGTTATTCTCCCCCTTTTTAGTGCCCTTCGGCAGATACCTTCGGCAGTGCCCTTCGGCACCCCTACAATCAGCATCACCTAACTTGCCGAACGGCAATACCATAATGGAGCAACCATGAGGGTCAAGAGAGTAACATGCAGAAGATAAATCCTTGCAATATAATAGTCATAAGAAGAGGAAATACAGAGACCACCCTAGCTTTTCATTACATGCCATACCGTTCGGCATGTTCCTTGGAAAGCATTATTGGAGGGAGCCCGCATTGCATACCTTACTAAGGAGGTCTGCCGACATGCATGGCGAATATCAAGATGATAACCACCAAAAGGCACTCAGCCATGCAATTACATAAAAAGCTGAGAGAGTCCTACCGTACGGCACCATGCAAACAATTGATAAAGATATCTAAACCTCTGGTTTTATCGGTTACCATTCAAAAGGATATCAATACGACCACATCACGATCATCATTCTCCTAAAAAGATAAGTGCAATAGTCCTTATCTTTTTTATCTTTTCGTCATTTTGTTGAGATCATACCAGGCTCACTTGTGGTTCAGAACATTGCCCATTTTTTGTGGTCCAGAATATTGCTCATTTTTGGATGGCTTTACATGCACCACCATCTGTACCACAGCAACTTCAGTGAAAACAGTTTGCAAAGGGCTCCTGCTTCTTGCTCCACGGGACCAGCCCAAAATTGCCAAATCAGCTGCTAACGCTGCCTAAAAAATCGATCAAACCACCCTTGCCAAACGGCAAGGGTTGAGCAGAGGATCAGGGGGGCTTCGCATGGCTCTCAAGGCATCACCGTGTCTTGCTGAAGGTTTTGCAGGCCCAGCTCCAATTCGTTGGTCCCTTCCTTCAGAACCCGAAGCCTTGCTAAACTCTCACAACCACCGCCCTTGCTGAACGGCAGGGGTTATGCAGTAACGAATGGTGGCCTTCAAGAATACGAAGACTCACCTTCTAGACACCAAGAACCAGGCTCCAACTCGTGCCCAAGCACTACGGATTCACCCCGCACTCCTTGGAGCTTGCCGATCGGCACAAACCTTGATATGAACACGGCGCAAGGAGAACGAACGAGCCTGTCGAATCTGCCCTCAAACCAATTCTGCCGACCAAGGCTGCCGTCGACACAGCAACTTGCCGAACGGCAGGTACCGACCAGACGTCTATGGGACTACCCCGCGAAGCCAACGTCAACTCACAAAGCTCTCGGACCCTCCTTTCCATATCTCCCTTACCGATCGATAAGACAATTGCAGAACGAAAGGAGCCTTGCTGAACCCAGGAAGCCTTGACAACCTTTGCCTGCTAAAGCCCCTCATTCACGCAAAAAGCACCTCCAGCCAACCTTGCCGAACAGCAAGGTGCCACTCCCGTCTGTTGCACATCATATCGATGAATTGCTCAGGACACCCAACCACAAATTTTATCAGGACACCCGAAACAGAGTGGGTTCGTCCATAACAAACACCACCAGACAGGGAGTTCAAACCTGCCGAACGGCAAGGCCTGGGCAAAAGCTAGGAAGGCTCAGTTAATTTGCCTCGAATGCCCAACTTCCCCAAATCGAGAATAAGGAATGGGTCTCACCGTCTCTAATCGAATGCTCTACCGAATCCGATAGCCTCGACCAAGGGTGCTCCGTCTTTTTCTCCCGCTAAAAATGACCTTGCCTCACCAAATTTCTGCAAGAGTGGAAGCCTGCCGAATGCCCAAGGAGGCCTCCCGATATCCTCAAACTGCAAATTCGAGCTCAGCTCCAGTCAAGGTCACCGGAGCCCAGCTCCAGTTCACGCAGGCTCTCCTCCTAGACCTGTCACGACATTCACAAAGTTATTTACGAGGTTGCCGAACCAAAAGGGCTGCCTAAATTCCCGGCGCCAGTCCGCCTTGCCTACACGAGGGACTCAACAAAAGCCTTACCGAGATTTGCAACAAACTCCTAGGCTCCCGAGTCTGCCCAGCCGCCCTTCTGATCCAGCCTTCACAGCTCAAAACTAACAAGCTCCTCCGAATCACACCAGGCAGCACTCACAGCCACAGGAAAATTTTCACTCCACCCTTGCCGAACGACAAGGGTCGGGCAAAGGAGAGGGTGGCCTCGAAAAAAACCTCCTTGCGATTCTCACAGAACCTGCCGAACCCAGCTTCGAATTCTTGGGCAGAAAATCAACCCAAGCACAGACTGCCGAACAGCAGGTGTTATGTAGGAAGGACTCCACCCTCCTCCCAAATCCTAAGGCCTTGCCTAGGCCCAAAAGCGGGCCCAGCACCTTGACTTCACAAAGCTCCCTTATCCAAGCTGCCCTTGCCGAACGGCAATGGCCATATCAAAGTCAAGACACTTCTGGAGGCCCACGAGTTGCTCCCCTGCAGAATCATTAAATCTCAAAGGCCCACTTATGGCACTTGACGTTCATGCCGACACAACCCAAAACAAAAGAAAAAACCCAAGATTGTTAGCCATCGGCAATAATAATTGGAAAGCTTGTTCTACAAGACGAGAGCGATGCTTTCGGCACCCCGTCATCATTTGACAAGCGATGCCTTCGGCACCCCGTCATCATTTGACGAGAGAGATGCCTTCGGCACCCTGTCATCATTTGACGAGAGCGATGCCTTCGGCACCCCGTCATCATTTGACAAGCGATGCCTTCGGCACCCTGTCATCATTTGACAAGAGAGATGCCTTCGGCACCCTGTCATCATTTGACGAGAGCGATGCCTTCGGCACCCCGTCATCATTTGACAAGCGATGCCTTCGGCACCCTGTCATCATTTGACAAGAGAGATGCCTTCGGCACCCTATCATCATCCGACGAGAGTGATGCCTTCGGCACCCTGTCATCATCCGACGAGAACGATGCCTTCGGCACCCCGTCATCATTTGACAAGCGATGCCTTCGGCACCTTGTCTTCATTTGACAAGAGAGATGCCTTCGGCACCCTGTCATCATCCGACGAGAGGGATGCCCTCGGCACCTTGTCATCATCCGACGAGAGCGATGCCTTCGGCACCCCGTCATCATTTGACAAGCGATGCCTTCGGCACCCTGTCATCATTTGACAAGAGAGATGCCTTCGGCACCCTGTCATCATCCGACGAGAGCGATGCCTTCGGCACCCCGTCATCATTTGACAAACGATGCCTTCGGCACCCCGTCATCATTTGACAAACGATGCCTTCGGCACCCCGTCATCATTTGACAAGCGATGCCTTCGGCACCCCGTCATCATTTGACGAGAGAGATGACTTCGGCACCCTGTCATCATCCGACGAGAGCAATGCCTTCGGTCACCTTCGGCACCCTGCCATCATCTGACGAGAGCGATGCCTTCGGCATCCCGTCATCATCTGACAAGCGATGCCTTCGGCACCCTGTCATCATTTGACAAGAGAGATACCTTCGGCACCCTGTCATCATCCGACGAGAGCGATGCCTTCGGCACCCCGTCATCACCTTCGGCACCCTGCCATCATCCGACGAGAGCGACGCCTTCGGCACCCCGTCATCATTCGGCACCATCGACACTACACTACTTGGAAGAAGACTAAGGTGTTGCTCAGTCAATGCACTGAAAATTGCAAGTCCTCAACCAAGGAGTACCTCCTCGCTTGAGAACTTGGGGGACTTCTGTTTATACCATATTTGACCAAGCAACTAGAAGCAACTCTAGGCAAAGCAAAGAGTCCCACATTGGAATATTACAAGAAGTGAATGCTCCCCATCACCTATAAAAGGAGACCACTCACCCCTTAGAAAAGGATCCTTGGGCTGGGCTTGATATTTAGTCATGGCCTTCTCATTTCTTACATTTAAATTTGGGTCCAACCCCATGTACAAATGTAAATACACAATATTATAATAATGAGAATATACTTCTCCGTGGACGTAGCCCATTCATTAAGGGTGAACCACGTATATCTTGTCTTCTGTATGTTTATCGCTTGCTCCAATCCTCACACACTTGGTGAAGGTCCTCACCTTCACCCATCATCCATCACACCTCATCACTAAGTTGGCCTCAAAAGTGCCGAACCATTTTTGAGCGTCAACAAACTACATGTGGGGGTACTTGTCACGTTATTGTTGTCTACATGCTGAAATACCTCAAGGAAATTTCAGGGCAAGACTACTGAAATTTTCACACAAAACTTTGCTGGCATCAATGAAAGACTTTGACCATTTCAAGTCTATAATGAAGCAAGGATCCAAGTGCAGGCAACTTAAACGAAGACTATGACCATATATAGTAAGAAAATATAATAATAAGGTTTCACTGTGGTTATGTTTGCGGAACAATAGAAAATATTAATTTACAAATACTACAAAAATGAGGCAACAGTAACTTTTTTTGTGACTTTATTGGTGACTGTTGGTGCCAACAGTAATCATTTTCAATGGCTAAACTCTTTAGTTACGCTGCAGTTACGATTTAGGAATTCGTGATATACGAAACCATGACAATTGCCCTTTGTTACGATTTTTACCACCAATCGTGACAAATTTGGTTGACTCAAATTTCTTCAAAAGTATATTGGGGCCATAGCATAACCAATCAACTTTATTCATTTACTTTTTTTTCTTTTTTCTATTTACATATTTTATTATTTTTTTACTAGGCTCACAAAATTCAACAAATTTTTAAATATATTTTTGATTTCAGAGTATTACATTTTTCAGAAGAAAATGACCAATTTTTATTTGGAATATTTATGCCTTTTCTATTTAGTATACTCCTATAAATCCACCCACTACTACAACTTCATTGCCATTCAATACAATAGAAAAAGATATTGTTTTTATTTCAATGGCTTAGAGTAAACAATTCAATAAAGATAAATTATTTTATTGCAATTTCATTACAATTCAATAATTAATTAATTACAATTTCTATTTTGTATTCTTTGAGTCTTTCGTGGTGACTCCCACATATATCTTCTTCATCATCTGTCAAGTGAAGAGGAAAAATCACATGAAAAAGAGGAAGACAACAGTAACCACATTAAGCAAAGCACGCTTTATAAAAATAAAAAAAAACCAAATCTAGTTTAGAAGAGGAGAAATATATATATCTAATGCAAGACGAAGACTTGATGAAGATTATGCAATTCAATTATGGCTAAAAGTCACTTTTGGTCTATATAGTTTGACATTTCAACTACTTTTGACTCTATATAGTTTCAATTCCATCAATTTTGACCATGTAGTTTCGTATTTGTAGCAATTCAAGAACAATTTAGTTTTCAATTATACCACAAAAATCAGGGAAAAAAAAATCAAAGCAAGATTATAATTTTTTAATAAAAAACAACAAGTGGTGTATCGAAAATTTAAATTAAGTATAATATTTTATTGATTTAGATTACAATTAGAAGATTACAATAAAATATTTTATTGGAAACTTCCTATTTATGTGCAGCCACAGTAGATTAGGATTTTATTTAACCTATTTAAATCAATAGTAATGAACTAATTATATACTTGTATTCGCTTGAAAAAATTAGGAATAACTGAAATCCTACGTCATAGTACGAGTGGGGGGAAAACCATTATGGAATAAATGCCATGGGTTTATCTAGAACCTAAAGAGTGTTGCTATTTCCACCCATCTGTCTTTTTTTCCCACCCACCTTATTTTCTCACTCACCATCTAGATTTGAAAAAACACAATCCTATCTTTCCACCCATCATTATTTCTAAAATGCCCTTTAATTATTAATTCAAGCAAAAAAACTTGAAACTTATAAAAAAAAACCCAACCCAAACCCAACACAAACTTCCCCCATCGACAACCCACCAACCCCATCCTCCTCTTGCCACTGACTTGGGTCACTTGTGGGTTTAACAAAATCAATGAAAGTCATGGGTTTAACAAGAATCAATTAAACACTTTAAAATCTTTGAGTGAGACAAAAAAAAATTGCAAAAATCAAGTGATCAAATCAGATTATTAACCCATAACCCATGTTGGAATGGTCTCTGGTTGGGGAGGTTGTTTTTATAATCAGCTTGATTCTACTTTACGTTTTGGTGCTTCTGATCACCGGACGCTATTCCATGAGGTTGTATGTCGCCTACAATTGCACTTATATTTTCGGAATGTTGCTCGCTCTGCAACTTCGCTTTGTCGAATTTCAGCATGTGCAGTCTGGCGAGCATATGGTTGCGATGGGCCTCTTCTTCTTTATGCAGGTTTGGTTTTCTATGCACATTCAATTTACTCTTATCAATGAATTGTATTGTATGTTTCCTCTTCTGTTCAGTGTATATGGTGTGAATTAACTTACCCGATTCATTTACTTCTTTATTCATTTTTCTTTGGTGGTGTGTGGGCGTGTGGGCATGTTGGCATGTATTTTACTTAGATTAGGTCAGGCAGGCACCTACTGAGTGACAGAAAGATGTTTCAAGCCTTTCTAAGGACCACTGGCACCTACGCAGTAGGCGTTGGTGTTGTTGCTTTGCGAGTCGGCACTACATTTGGGTATATCCCTCCATAGTTGTCGATGGAGAAAGTTTGTGATGGGTTGAGGTTTTTGTGTTTAGAAGTCATTTTATAAATGGGTAGATTTGTCTTAAATTTTTTGAAAGTAAGGTGAGTGGGAAAATAGGACAGATAAGTGTAAATAGTAGCATTCAATCCAAAACAACCACAGTGGATATTCACAACTAACGCAACTTTTGACTCAAATAACGACGTATGATACAAATTTAAAAGATCCAAGTGGTGGCTTTTGTCTCGAATTGCAAAAATTGCAATTAATGCCTTTCTACATCAAACATGATCCTTGGCCTAGAATGACCTTACCTATTTTTTGGGATTTTTTTTTTTTTTTTTTTTTTTTTTTTTTTTTTTTTTTTTTTTTTTTCCCTCTCTATCTACCTAAAAATACTTTACTGTAAAGTTAAGAAGTTTAAAAGTATATTGGTAAAAATAAAATAGGGAGTTTCACCAAAACACCCAAAATGGGGTCTGAAATTATAAAAAAACCCAAGTACTATTTAAACATATAAACATACCCAAAACCCATCATTACACACACTCAAAACTCATTTATAAACACACCCAAAAAGTTGACTTTGGGGTTGATTTTGGGTGTGTTTCTATGTTTACATAGTGCTTGGGTTTTTTTTTATAAATACATGTCTAGGATTGGGTTTATTTATAAATTTGTAATATATCCTAAAAATAAATGACTTTTCGTTTGAAACCTAAACTTTTTTTTAATGGCTTAACAAACTTTTAACATAAATTTTGTTAGCAAATGTTTTTGTTCTTACTAAAATTGCTTACTTTATTAATGTAAGACATTCATTTTTTTTTTTTTTTTTTTTTTTTTTTTTTTTTAATCATCGCAAATAATAAGAACTCACTCTTTCATTGGGATAAGTTGCAAGTGTAATGCTATCGTGTTCTAACCCTAATTTGCATGAGATTAGACCATTCTCTCTACTAAACTAAGGGCTAATTTGGTATTGATGTGCTAAAAAAACTGCTTATGTTGTGTTGTGAGAATTAATTGTGAAATAAAGTAGTTAAGTGCAAACCCGGCCTTGAGCCAAGGCAGGCAATGCGATCGCCCTAGGCACCGGGGCAACAGAGGCCCCAGTTTTATTTATTTTTTATATGGTCATATTTTTCTAATGAGTTATTTATGTAACCGAGTCAAATATTGTCGTAAGTTTCCTCCAGTAGCAGTGGCAAGGGTTGCTGTCTTTGATTGTTTTGTCTACAACCATTGTTTTCATCCTAAATTATTTCAAAAAATAAATGACTTTTTGTTTGAAACCTAAACTTTTTTTTAATGGCTATATATAAAAGGTTATATTTTTTTTAATATTCTATACACACGCAAATAACATCAAATGATTTTTCTTGTGTGGAGCTATACATACAAATGGTCTATTTTCGACGTCGCCATGAGCCTAAAAAATCTCAAGGTCGGTCTTAATTAAGTGTTTGGTAAATTATTTTTATTAAAGTGTTGTAGATATAAAAAGTAGTGTCAAAATGTTTACTAAACTTTTATGCCCAAGAAGGACATGAGCTAAAAATACTTTTATTTTTCACCAAAGGGAATACTAACTTTACTCTACATATACTTATCTTTGAAAAAAAAAAATATTTATCTTCATCTTCGGTTAGTCCCAAAAAAATAAATAACTCTAAAAAATATTTATCTTCATCTTCACTTAGTCCCACCAAACGCACTCTAAAAGGTGCAGAAGTTTCCCAGTATTGTGCTCAAAACTGCATGAGAACTTGTCTATTTGTTGTTGTCTACATGCCGAAACGCCCCAAGGAAATTTCAGGTCATGACTATTGAAATTTCCAAAGAACTTTGCCGGCACCAGTGAAAGACTTTGACCATTTACTTCAAGTCTATAATGAAGCAAGCATCCAAGTGCAGGCAACCTGAACCAAGACTTTGACCATATACTTATGTATTTCATCATCGAAGTTTTATGTCCCTTGTGTCTCTTATCTAATTGTTTGACACATGTCAACTCAATTAATCGTGAATTAACTCCCTTCACTTATAAAATTGAGAAAAATCTAAAAATAAAATAGAAAACAAATGCCACAGCATCAGCCACCGCCCCTCGTGACCGAATCTCTTGAGGTGCTGCTAGATTTCTTCAACTTTGTTTAATGGGCCGAATTGGATTGGATGTGTCCAGCTAATTAAATTGGTATTAAAATACTAGTCATTGCTTGGTGGGCTTAAGTGTGACTGGACATCACAAATTCTCTAGTGAGGACCGCTGTACGCAGACCTTTTATACACATACAAGGTTCAATCAGAGCCGCGAAAATTGATTTGAACGGCTGAAAAAATAAAGCGAGCTTACAGTACTAAGGGGTAACATAAAACCCATTTCAAGACAACACCGACACTCTTAACAAAAAGGAAGCGATGGTTCCGCTTCTTCCACACGAAGTCCATGGCTCGCAGACCGGCCCTTTTCTTCCTTTGTTTGCAACAATTAAATCCAACAATAACCCAATCCAGCTTCCTCTTATACCATCAGGGTCACCGCTCTCCCCAACTACCACACCAGCCAAACCTTCACCTCAGCAACTACAGTTGTACAGTCAAAAGCTTTCATATTAATGCCATATTCATTTCAACGGGCAAAACGTGCAACAAAAGTTGAGATATCATGTAAATGCTAGTGGGTCTAGATTAACAGAAGCAATACCTCGACTAAACCTAACAAAAGCAAAAAAATTTGGGCTTGGATCTAATACATAGACAAAACAACTTATCTGAACTTCGGGCCCACCATGGTGCATCCACCCACTGGTAGTGGAGGCTGATTTTTCTTTTCAATTTTGTGGCATTTTCCAATTCTAAATAATCCATATGTTGTGTTATCTTATGATTGCATATGATTTTTTTTATTATTTATTTTATGTCTCGCTTTTCAATTGAAGTCTTTGAAATTTGTAAAGCAAAAATTAACTTGTGTGATGCATTAATGATGTTATTTTAAGGATAAAGAAAGTGACACATGTCATGAGGAAAATAGAGAAGGTACAAAGGAGAAGGTTAGAGAGAGGGTTGCTAGCATTCCCCATATTTTTAACTACAATTGTTTTGTTGTTTCTTGTTACTAATGGTTGCAATTGAGTTCCTTTTTTTTGGACTTCTTAGATATAGGTTCATTTTCATCAAGATGTAATGGATGCAATTCACATGCTCTCCCTTTTCACTTGTAGTCCACTCTCGCCAAGTAAGCAATTCGTATGTCCATAATTTTTAAGGAATTTACAATATATGCCACAATCATAAATGGAATTATATGAAAACACTTTCTTAAAATTCAGTGTCTCTTAAATGGAATTATATATAAGTACAAAAATAGGGTGGTTGTGGACTTGCATTGACTAAATGGAAGAAGCAAGATTGTGTTATGATGCTGAGCTTGTTTGCTTGTTGTTCTTAGTTGATTGTTGTTATCTTTTAGAGACTTCAACTTAGTGCGTTTCTCAAAGTTTTGGCGAGCTATGTGAGGAGGATGTTTGATAGTAAAGTCAAGTAGAGCTCATTTGACTTTAATTAATGGTTCTTGGTGTTTTTTAATGGAGGCTTGCTCATCCTAGAGGATTTGAAAATGGATAGAGGCAACATTATTTAGTAGAAACGAGAAAGAAACACAGTAGTTGCTTCGGAACATCTGTCACATGCTAGTGGATTTGAAAATGGATGGGATATATGTTCAAAAATCAAAAGCTTTTCTTTGAGTTGAGGATGAGAGAGCTGTGTATGGAATGAGAGTGTAATTTTAGTTTTAACAGCAACGTCTTCCAGTTCTACCACTTATCGGATTGGAAGGTCTCCACAGTAGGGCCAATGTGGATCGTGAGCTTCGTCCTTGTCTTTGGTTCAGTCATGTACTTTAATTTCAATCTTGTAGCTATGATATGGGATTCTAATTCAAATATAGAGATTATTTGACGTATAGGGTTTGGTTTAATTTTGAAGGTTTCTTTCCATTATTGATGCCATTTTTTTAACTTGAGCAACAATAAAAAGGCACAGACAAATATACTAGCTCTATCTGCAAAACTGAAACTTAACAAGGTTTAAGAAGAAAACAGAGGATAGGGGAAGCATGTATAAATGTCATAAAGGGACAGGGTACAAACTTTTGAGCTGCCGGTCGCCGATGTCGTTGATACAAACATTCCTCTTAGTCTATATGCCTTTGCTTTGGTCTCAACACCTTCTTCTTCTTTTTTGTGGTTAAAATCTCAATACCTTATTTTCCATAGTTCGTATTTTTCATTCTCATTATTGCTAGAAGGACCTTACATTGCATTCCTAATTGGCAGGCATTTTCTCAAACAATGTCTATGCTTCTTCTAATAGCTTCAAGTTCCATTGTCATTGTTCACAAGGATAGAATTTGCACATCAACATAGCTACCAATAACCAAAGGCAGAGGCTGATTATTTGTGTAAATCAATTACAATGTGTAAATTAAACATATTTGTGCTATGATCAAATACGAAAAACATGTTTAACTGGCCCTTACAGAGCAGAGCTGCTAGCTTTCCTTGACATACATCCACATCGTGACTAATATTATTTCACTTAATTTGTATCCGCAATCTAAGTAATCTCTTCAGATTCTGAAGCACTTGATGCACAAGGACTTCGATTGTCCACACCAACTTCATGTGCAGGAATTTGTTGTGGGTATAAGAAAGGCCTTGGAGGCATTTGGAGGCTCTCAATTTCTCCTTCGAGCATCTCCACTACTGTATTCATTGAAGGACGTTCACTAGGCTTCATTTGCATGCACCACAATCCCACCATCATCATCTTCTTTACGATCTTCTGTTCCACATCTGTGGCGTCATCTCCTATTTCTAAGTCCTTTCCTTTATTTAACTGATCAGGAACCCATGTCGGAAAGTAGATTTGGCTCAATTGGCTTGATTGTTCTATACCCGCATTAAGGTTCTTCCTTCTACCAGCCATTTCCATCAATAGCATTCCGAAACTATAACCATCAGCTTTGTATGATACACCTCCAATGTTTTTGTAGGACAGTTGTAGAGCTATGTATCCCATAGTTCCTCTTGCTCCAGTCAAAGATACAATGCTATTATCCAATGGGTACAACTTTGCTAACCCAACGTCAGAGACCTTGGGAGTAAAATTCTCGTCTAGAAGAATGTTGTGAGGCTTGAGATGTCAAAGTGCAAAATTTGCATATCACAACCTCGATGGAGATATTCAATCCCACGAGCCACTCCAAGTGCGATTTCGAATATTTTTTAGCAACTCAAAGATATAGGTTCTTGTTGAGAAAAATTGTATTTCTCAAGAGATTCATTAGGCATGAAATCATATACAAGAGCACGTTTTGAACCATTGAGATAGAAGCCAATAAGTCACACCACGTTAACATGGCGATGACAAGACCCGCCCCGAATTCCTCAGAATCCGCTACGAATCCTTTAATATTTCCGACATCAAACTGATGCCGGGCTCACTTACTAAAAAGGCACAAGCCTTTCTGCATAAATTTTGGCAGAGTCTCCCCTGAAAAATAGACATTCCTAGCACGTACAGTAGAATCCTCAATACTCGTACGCCTGTGACAAGTCCTACGCGTGCAGATTAACCCCGCTAAGGGTCTACCAAATACCCCGTCAAGGGTGCCCGGGTTCCGACATATTCCCATAGTTCCAAATTTCCAATCCAAGTATTCTAAATTTGGGGAGGTACATAGGGTAGTGCTAATAGCACTCAAAACTGACTTAACCACAACCCAATCCACATTTCATAAACTCTTTCCAACAACCCCATGTACTCAACACTTATCCAAGTATAAATAATCATTCTCAAAAATAGCACATATCCAATCGAAATAGTCACAATCCACAATATTCGAATATACTACAATTACTTCAAAAAAATATTATATCCCACAATTAAATATATAGTAACTCAATAATCAAATAACCAATTATGCATATTTTTCCATCTCTGGTAGACGAAGCTGCTCATAATCAAATGTTATCATTCACGGATGGCAATGCAGGATACAATCAGATAATGGTGGCAGAATAAGATATCCACAAGATAGCCTTCATGTGTCCAGGACATATAGGTGCTTTTGAATACACTGTAATGCCTTTTGGCTTGAGAAATGCAGAAGCCACTTATCAAAGAGAAATGAATTCTGTTTTTCATGACATGATAGGCCATTCTCTAGAAGTTTATATAGATGATGTGGTGATTAAATCCCTAGAAAAACAGAAGTTGAGCCACAACAAGCAAGTCAAGTTAGAATTCAGAGTCTCTAAATTCAGTTCAGTTTCAGAGAAATAGTCATACAAAACAAGATTTCTCTCATTACAAATTTGGTTCAGCATAAGCCAAAACAAGCAGAGTTCGGATTTTGCTAATATGAAAACCTCAACAAATTTATGGAGAGCCTTGATCAAGCAGAACAGGTACTATAACGCAGTTCCAAATCAGCAATCATCAAATCCAGCCACTTTTGCCCCTTCCAGACTGAAGACGTTCCAATGTTGCCCGTTCAAAAGCCTTCTAGGGCTTGAAATAGATTAAAGCTCTGCCAGACTCGAATGTTGGTATCAATTTATAGCTAAAACTTGACAGTTGAAGGTGTCGATGGTCCAATCCAGCACAGACACATCCAATCCAGTCCGGATCAAAGGTAGCTATCCAGGCAGAAATTGAAGTCCAATGCTCTTTTGTCTTTTTTAGAGTTGGTCTTTCCCTTTCTGAGTCTTGTAAAAGGCAGTTATGCCTGAAACAGTTTACTTTCTTGTTATTTATTCTGTCCAAAACTACCAATTTTTTACTGTGAAAAATTGTGAAGTCTTCACCAATCTGAGATAAGAAAAGAATTTACTTGGAAGATATTCCTCACCCAAATTCACAATTGCTTGTTTAGAAATCAGTGACTTGGGGCGCAAGTTATCCATTTTTAAAGAAGCCTGTTATTGCTAGTAGTGGCATGCTCATACACAAAAGAAAGTTGACTTGTTAACCACAAATGGTTTTCAGGACAATGGAGAACTTTACCCTACCATCACAGGAACAAATAAAAAATGGGTGAACACTAATTTTAAGCATGTTTTTAATTCATTACAATATTTTATGATGAGTTTGTATTATACAAAAGATCAAGGCCTGAAGTTCCTCGATCCTCATCATATAACTAGATTAGGACCTCGAGTTCTTTTAATTGAAGCAGAACCTGAAGTTCTTTGATTCCAAATAATTGAGGGCGTGAAGTTCCGCGAATTTAAAGAGCAAATAAGGACATGAAACTCCTTGATTTTGTATTAATCAAAATCAAAATTCTATGAGGCCTATAAAAAAAATAACGCTCTATAAGAGGTTATGATCCACATATTCTAAATAATTCATCATAAAAGAGATGTTTGCCACTTAAGTGACAACATAAGCCCCTGAAAAGGCATTGGTACCCCAAAGCAATAAGATGCTTATAAATTATGCATGCACATGCACATGAGAATTGTGGAATCATGAATTGATAATACATTTGGTTTATTAGTAGCTACTACAATCCTCAAGGGCTATGATTATATTAAATCTCGCCTTATGACTGTCGACAAGTTAAGTGATTGGCTAAAAATGGAAATAGGCAATTCCATTTATCACTAAATATGAAGGGTTGGATATTGAACCTATAACTCAAACACCAAATCACAAATGTTAAGTATGAAGGTTACAGATTGGTGTTTGTGAAGTGAAATAAGATCACTAATATGAAATAAGGCTTCCTGGTAGAGACATGGTTTTAGTCTCCCATCTCATCGTAGATGCATCCGCATCCCATCTCATCGTAGATAGCATGTGTTAAATGCATATTTATTAAGACTGTATGGTATATGGAGATCCTCAAAGCTCATGAAATATTTGAGATATATCGCATGAAGCAACTCCTTGAAGGATATAAAATACCACAATATTCTTGATTAAGAGTTAACACTAAGAGTTTGAGTATTTTGAATTCAAATTTGATATTGTTGTAACATATTCTAACTATTAGATTAGTTGTTGATGCTACTAAAGAGTTCAATCTTTTGAAAAGTGAAAAACAGGTCGAATAGTGTGATAAACAATCATGTGTGAAGACAATGTTCCTTGTATTGCTCAAATCAAAGAAGGGTTCATCAAGGGTGACAATTTCAGAAAAAAGTCAAGAGATTGGAGTCAAACAAATTTGTTCACAAGATAATATGGCGAACCTTTTTACCAAAGCTTTTCTGAAATCTATATGCCATAAGTTATTGAAAATCAATGGGAGATATCAATCAGGGGGAGTATCCTAGTTCTACTACATACAACACATATGCGTGTTGCACATGTGTTGTACTCTTTTCCCTTCGATTAGGTTTTTGTCCCACTGGATTTTTCCTAGCAAGGTTTTAACGAGGCAACATAAGTGCATCCAACACCATATCAATGATCTAGAAGAAAGTTTCACTCTTTTTCCCTTCGCTTCGGTTTTGTCCCACTGAGTTTTCCAAGCAAGGTTTTTAATGAGGGAATTATGTCATTGTATGGTGGACATCCAAGGAGGAGTGTTGTAAATGCATGAGTTGGTGGATGACCACCATACCTCTTAGTATTCCATCGTTGGATTTTATGTAACCTATACACTAAGTTTTTGTAATTAGTGCTTGTAGCCTATATGTATATTGTAAATGATGGTATTCAATCTCCTATCTTGTAAGCCTATAAATAGGTAGTTCTACCAAAGATTAAGAGAAGAATAAACATGGTAAAACTTTATCTCTAGCATATCATTTCTCTCTATATTTTCTCCCTCTAATTTTATAACAAGATAATAATAATTAAATGAAGAAACGATTTTTGATGTGGTTAATTTTTACTTTTTTAGCCTACAAACCGGGTTAAGCATAGATCCGTTGAATTTATATCTCCAAATAAATGATTTTGGTCCACTCCCATCAACTTAACAATAAATTAGCCTATATATTGTTTTCAAGCTAATAGACCATTCTCTTCCCTAAACTCCAAGGAAATTTCCTTTCAAGTGAAGACTAATGAAATTTCCAAAAGGAAAACTTTTAAGTCTAGTGAAGCAAGAATCCAAGTCTAAGCGGCAATGTAAAGGAAGACTTTGACCATATACTTGGGTGGTATATTTCCTCACCACAGTACCACGCACGCGGAAAGAAAATCATGTATGATTGTTCTCATCCTATTCCCAAAGAAAAAACAGACAAAGAAAGTGCAATGAGAATTCAACAGTTGTTCCACAATAGACAACTTACGCTTCTCTCCAACCCACTCCTCAAGTTCGGAAATATTTTGTGCAGTAATGATTATTTGGACTTCATGGAAGCAATTTGAGTCCCACATATATATTTAATTATAAAACATGTTACCTTTTATCTTTATTTAAATTATTTATTAATAAACAAAAAGTAAGAAAAGACTGATATGGTTTTAATGGGTGGTTGGACTTTTTGAGCTCACAAACTTTAATATCAAAGAGCCACCTAGGTTACGCAAAAGCACAGTGATTAAGAGCAATTGTTTCTTATGATGGATATTGGGTTTGAATTTTAGTATCCGTGTAATGTGTATGAGTTTGGTATTATTATCCCTCTGAATAGGAAAGATCCTAAAAAAAACTGAAGAGAAGTATTATGAGAACTTTAATATCAAAAGATGCCTCATTCAATTGCATTGAAAACTACAACTTTCAAGGAAAAAAACATGCTAGACAAATAAGTACATTGAAGAGGGAGAGAGAGTTCAATTATTGATGGAAAGTGGATTGTATGACCTTCTACATTGGGCCGCGTTGAGGTTTATGATTTAGGCATTTCTTGCTAATTTGGGGTGGGTCAAAGTTTTAGTACTTCGGCCCAAGTCTGCCCACACAGACAGAGTCATTAGGGCTAGGGCTTGAACTTGTCTGGTAGAATTAGTTTGGCTGGTTTATGCTACATTGTGTTAGTTGGCCTGGGCTAGGCCGGCCCAATAAATATTTTAATATTTTAATATTTAATTAACACAATATAGAATATACAGTAATAGTAAGGGCAAGAAGAGCTCGTTTCACTTTGAAGGAGGATGGAGGCAACATTATTTAGTAGAAACTAGAAAGTAACAGAGCAGTTGCTTAGGAACATCTGTCTCATGCTTGTTTCTACTTTGGTTATTAAATTCTATGAATCCACTTGACGAGTAGTTTGTTAGAACATCTAGGCTTGCCGATGCTAACGGATTTGAAAATGGATGGGATCAATGATCTAATAACAGATCTGTGCATGGAATGAGAGTGTAACTTTTAGTTTTAATAGCAATGTCTTCTATCTTTTAGCCCAAATTGCTCACTCCAAACCCACTGGCCATTATCAATCCAAGTCTGTAGCTTGCTCTGGGGTCCGTACGTAAAACTGAAACTTAAACAAGGTTTAAGAAGAAAACAGAGGATAGGGGAAACATGTATAAATGCCATAAAGGGCAGGATACAAGCTAAGCTGCCGGCTTTCGCGGTTGCCATTTATACAAACTTTCCTCTCAGTCTATATGCCTTTGCTTTGGTCTCAACACCTTTTTTTTCTGTCAAAATCCCAACACCTTATTTTCCATTGTTCGTATTTTTCATTCTCTTTATTGCTAGAAGGACCTTACATTGCGTTCCTAATTGGCAGGCATTTTCTCAAACAATGTCTATGCTTCTTCTCCAGACCAAAAAAATGTCTGTGCTTCTTCTAATAGCTTCAAGTTCCATTGGCATTTTCTCAAACAATGTCTATCCTTTTCTTTGCACATCAACATAGCTACCAATAACCAAAGGCAGAGGCTAATTATTTGCTTAACTCAATTACATGTAAATTAAAAATATTTGTGCTATGATCAAAGAACAACATGTTTAACTGGCCCTTAAGTAGAGCTGCTAAATTTCCCTTACATACATCCACATCATGACTAATATTAAATCACTTAATTTGCATCCGCAACCAAACTAATCTCTTCAGATTCTGAACCACTTGATGCACAGGGACTTAGATTGTCCCCACCAACTTCATCTGTAGGAGTTTGTTCAGGATATAAGGAAGGCCTTGGAGGCATTTGAAGTTTCTCAATGTCTCCTTCGAGCATCTCCACTACTTTATTCATTGAAGGGCGTTCACTGGGCCTCATTTGTACGCACCATAATGCCACAACCATCATCTTCTTTACGATCTTCTTTTCCTCATCTGTTGCATCATCTCCTATTTCTATGTCCTTTCCTTCTTTCAACTGATCAGAAACCCATGTCGGAAAGTAGATTTGGCTAAATTGGCTTGAATGTTCTATACCCTCATTCAAGTTCTTCCTTCTACCAGCCATTTCCATCAATAACATTCCAAAACTATACACATCTGCTTTGTACGAAACACCTCCAATGTTTTTATAGAATAGCTCTGGAGCAATGTATCCCATGGTTCCTCTTGCTACAGTCAAAGATACAATGCTATTATCCAATGGGTACAGCTTTGCTAACCCAAAATCAGAGACCTTCGGAGTAAAATTCTCGTCTAGAAGAATGTTGTGAGGCTTGATGTCAAAGTGCAAAATTTGCATGTCACAGCCTCGATGGAGATATTCAATACCACGAGCCACTCCAAGTGCGATTTCAAATATTTTCTGGGAACTTAAAGAGATAACTCCTTGTTGTGAAAAAATGTATTTCTCAAGGGAGCCGTTAGGCATAAAATCATATACAAGAGCACGTTTCGAACCATCAACACAGAAGCCAATTAGTCGAACCACATTAACATGGTGAATCCTCCCAATGGTGCCAACTTCATTGATAAAGTCTTGCCCATTAGTTTTGGACTTACCTAACATCTTTATGGCTACCAGGCGACCGCTGCGGAGCTTTGCCTTGTATACAGAGCCATAGCCTCCTTCACCCAATTTGTCTTCGAAACCTTTTGCCATCTTTTTGATGTCTGAGTAAGTGTACCTTACTGGCATGAGATTATTATTATTACTCCGTAGAAAGTCTTCTATATTCTCATACATTGACAAGTGCCTCCTTCGCCATTTATATATTAGTAATGCAGTTACAAACGGAATACCAAATAAAGCTTTGGCTGTTAGGTATGGTGCTGCATGGTTCACAAAAAGGGAATTATGAGGAAGGATAATAAGAATAAAAATAAAATAATATACTCCTTTCCAAATCATCTAAATCCTGCAAGTGTTTAGTTCTTGTAACAGCATAAATTTGTGTTGTGCCTTCTCTTACCGAGGTAAATGATTGCACAGACCAGAAGCTGACTGCGGAAATAGTTGGTGGAAGGACTAATAGGGAAAGTCCCATCAAGGTGGAAGCGCTGATAAATAGGGTCAATAAATGTTTCTGCAACACAAAGTGAAAAAATGGATCAATGGAATGACTAATGTGGGTTAGTCGAGCGAAAAAGCCAAATTTGCAGAGTACAGAGGAATCCACTCGCCTAGTTTCCAGATGATGTACTTAATGACCTTCATGTACCAACGGGTTTCTGCATTGTTAAAGAAAACAGTAACATAATAAATTATACACAAATTGAAAGCAAAAGGTAACATTGCCTTAATTAACTCTTGAGAATACATTTTAATATGCTATAGTCATAAATAAATTTTTTATTTGACCAACATGAACTACATACAAATTGAAGCAAAAATGATGGATAATTTCAGGTTTGGCAATTATCTAACCTTTTGGATCTAACCAGAGCATTGAGCATTTGATTCGATTGCCATTTCCATTCAGCTCGCAAGCAGACAGTGATCCGCAATTTACTTTACATGCATAAGAAAGCCATGAGAGTTGAAAGCCATACGCTATTTCATTATAAATTGTTTTGCAGGATGTCATGTCTTCCCCAGTTGAAGGGGACACCATAACCATTAGTGTTATTTTACAGGACTCCCGCAAATTGGATGAACTTGGGCCATTGGTGTAGCCACGGCTCCCAACCATGAAATAGGAATACGTTCCTACACTGGTGAAAGAAGAACTTGGGCCATTGATGCATGGAGCTGTTTCAACAATTACATCAGAACGATTCATTGGATTTTCACAGCTCAGGAAAATTATAGGCATTGATGATTCTGTATATCCATAACCATAATTAATTAAGGCGTAATTTTCATAATAAGGAGATTTAGAGTTAGAAAAGTTGAACTGGGTGAAGGAGTAGAGTGGGTGGGAGAAGTAGTTGTCCTTGATCTTGTGAACACCAGCATCCACAAGTCGGATTGTGAAGTTATTGTAATTGATTGCTTGTACGTAGTACTTTCCTGAAAACAAGTATAGTACTGCATGATGAGTAGTACCATTTCCATTTGCCTCACATGATAGCTCGTAGCTTTTGTTGCCGCAGTCTTTAGAGTCTCCTTTCAATCGGAACGGAGGGCTTATGTTATTAATATTTCCACAAGAACGAATACAATCAGAGATACCATCTTTATTAGCTGTAACATTGGAAGCTGTTTGGGAACATGAGGAAGGAAGAAGAAGAAGAAGAAGATCAAGAAGGAGCGCAGCAGAAAATAGGAGACTTCCTCCAGACATAATGTCAGATCACAAGGCAGAGATGACCAATTTAATACTGTATAACCCTTTGAAGAGATAATTAGACATTCATAAATTCAATTTTGACATAATTTATAATCAGATAAAAAATAAGACGCGTTGCATGTGTTATAAAGTTAATACTTACTTGTAATATTTTATGTTTATGATATATTTTGGATTGGGTGGCAATTAGAAGGCCACGTCTGTAGTCGTGGGCCGCGTCGACCGTCTCAAATACTTGCCTTCGGCATGTTTCAAATAGGCATTTTTCTTGTAGTGTTAGAAGGCCACGTCTGTAGTTGGCTAAAGTAAAGCTTAGCCGCTCCTTTCGTTATCTAAGTGTCGTGTGTGACACACTTGAGAAGGAGAAAATATAATACTCCTTCCATTAAATGAGACGTGTGGAAGTGTATTTGTGAGGCAACAAGAGTCTCTACAAATATGCAAACTATGTGGGAAAATAATAAGTCTCCCCCCTCCCCCTCTCTCGAAAATGAAATGAAACAAGCAGCAGCGAGTAATACTACTCTTACTACATTTATATAATACTATTCTTACCACATTTGTATATTACATTTCTATACTACTTTATGTGGCAAATGAAGTGTACAACCATATCATTTAAAACTACTTTAACATTTTCTTTCTTTTATAATTAATTGACATTTTTTAATTGATGTGGTTATACATTTCATCTACCACATAAGTTGGTATGAGAATGTAGTATACAAATATGGTAAGAGTAGCATTATATTCGGCAGCACGCAAGAGCAAAGAAAAAAAGGCTCCTCTGCAAATTTGGTATATTTTTCCTTTTTACAACTCTTACTCTATATATTTGTGTTGAGTGTTTGCGTGTGGGTTGAAATGAAATTCCAACAACATGATCCACCCGCCATTGACGGACTCAGACATCCGGAATGAAGGAGTGGGGCCCATACTGTTTTAAGTAATCAAATTAGAAAAAATAAAAAAATAAAGAATAAAATTCACAAGAGAATAAATCCAAGTCCATATCACATACATACATATGTATATCATCTTCAAGAATACTTGTGCGGTGCTGCTGTGGCTAAGGTTCTCATCATGAATTTCTTATGGTGCTTGCTTATGCTACTCATGATAATTGTACGAGTGGTAGATGCAGTCAATGATGGAGGAGTCCTTCAAGATTGCACAGAGACAAGATGTGGCCCGGAAGGCCCAGCTATACGATTCCCATTTCGACTTAAAGGTAGGCAGCCAATCTATTGTGGCTTCCGGGGCTTTGATCTTTCATGCACTGGCGACAACCGGACTATGCTTGAGATACCATCGTCGTCAGCTAAGCTCTTTGTTTATGATATTAACTACAGATCTCATGCAATTGGATTAAGACATTCTGATTATTGCTTGCCGAGGGAGTTCTTTTACAGCAATGGTTCTTCTCCTTCCTTTGAATTCGTAGGCCATGCATCCTTATTCAATTGTCCACCGTCAACAGTAAGAGATAAATATTTCAAGTCTCCCGATGGTTATCGATGTATGGCGAGGTTGACCCCTTGCCATGGAAACCATATTTATGCTGTCCTTGGAGAAGATTATTCCGTTGATGATTGTCCCATTCATGAAATGCCCCTGGTGTCTTGTACCAAGGTGCATGACTACACATCAGATCCTGCATATATATCTGAAATAAAAACAAGGTACATTGATGGTCTGAAGTTGCATTGGTCCATTCCAGCATGTGAACATTGCGAAGAGATGAGCAAGACATGTAGATTCACACATCAGATTGATCAAGTTGAATGTATTGATGTGTCCAAAGGTATCGATGACGCTCCACTGTACTTACAAGGGTTTCTGATCATTTGAACATTAACTAGTTTGGATTTCATTGATTTGAAAAACCTAGCCCTGATTTCATAATCAACTTTTACAGGTCATAATCTTGGGAGGACAGCCCTGAAGATAATAGGTGAGCAATCCACAGTCCTTCATTTCTTTTCTGTTTTTGTGCATTCTTTCTTTTTATGAAGGATAAGGGAGGAGGTCCAATAGAGGAAATTAAGGACATGTTTGGAAGTGCCTTGAAAATTACTTTTGATAACATTTGATAGAAAAAGTTAGAAATGCTTCTAGGTTATTCAAACATTTGGAAAGTAAGTTTTTAAGGAAGCACTTGAATTTTAAATATAAATCTTAGACTTGCTTCTAACAAAAGTGCTTATGAATAGAAGTGCTTTTTTTGAGCTGTATTTCCAATAATTTGTATCTAACTACAAATCGTGGGTTCTTAACGCATAAGATTATATTTGCAGGTATTTCAGCATTCTGTTTAGTTCTAATAGCGATGGGGCCGACAATCTACTATGTCTATACCTCTAACAAAATGGAAAAAGAAAATTGCCTAAGAATTGAGAGATTTTTGGATGATTATAGAGCGATGAAGCCAAGTAGATATTCCTATGCTGATATTAAAAGGATAACAAGTCAATTCAAGGAAAAGTTGGGTCAAGGTTCCTACGGAACAGTGTTCAAAGGAAAGCTTTCCTCTGAATTACTTGTTGCTGTGAAAATCCTCAACAATTCAAATGAAAAGGGGGAAGATTTCATAAACGAAGTGGGGACAATGTGTCAAATCCACCATGTCAATGTGGTTCGCTTGGTTGGATTTTGTGCAGATGGATTTATTCGTGCTCTTGTTTACGAATACTTACCAAATGGGTCTTTGCAAAATTTCTTATCATCAGCCGATAATAAGAATTCATTCCTTGGTTGGAACACGTTACAAGATATCGCTCTAGGAATAGCTAAAGGAATTGAATATCTTCACCAAGGATGCGACCAACGAATCTTGCACTTCGATATCAAACCACATAATGTATTGCTAGACCAAGATTTCACTCCAAAAGTATCTGATTTTGGTTTAGCCAAGTTTTGCGCTAAGGATCAAAGCGCAATATCGATGACTACAGCCAGGGGGACCATGGGCTACATTGCACCAGAAGTCTTCTCAAGGAACTTTGGCAATGTCTCCTATAAGTCGGATGTCTATAGTTTTGGAATATTATTGCTTGAAATGGTTGGAGGCAGAAAGAACTTTAAAGTCATGGAGGACTCCACTAGCCAAGTCTACTTTCCAGAATGGATCTATAACCTATTAGAGCAAGGCAACGACCTACGAATCCATATTGGTGACGATGAAGCAGATGTTACAATTGCTCGGAAACTTGCAATTGTGGGTCTATGGTGCATCCAATGGCATCCAATAGATCGTCCTTCAATGAAAGATGTAGTTCAAATGTTGGAAAGAGAAGGTAATAATCTAGCCATGCCTCCTAATCCTTTTGCCAACACTTAAAGTTGAAGGAGAATATAATGAACAGACCTCTATGCTGAAAAAGCACATGTGTTGCATGGATTATACCACTCACTTCTGAGATGAGTCATCGAGTATTATTATAATAAGATTATTATGGTATTGTCGTGTTAAGCAGATAGTACTAGTTAATTAAGAAACTGGTTTGAGTTCAATAAATTTCAATGTAAAGTATTAAATAGCAATAATTCATCAAACTTACAATACATGTCATAATTGAGACTAAGATGGTGTCTCTTTTCCTAAATATATTCATATATAATATTTTGAATTATAGAAAGGAAAAAAAGGGTGACCCATATTGTGTGGTTGGTTGAGCATATACCAAAGTGAATAAAATTGTTAGTATTTATATATATATTTTTTTTCATACAAACACTTATGAAGGAAGAAGAATCGAATATTGATCTTATGGGGTAAAAATAAATGATCTTAATTATTAGAATTGCAAACTCCTTGTAATATTAAATTTTCTTCAAACGTGAAAGTGTAATATTTAAATGAGGGTGCATCAATATTTCCTGCAAACTCCTCTATTTAATTATTATTTTTTAGTTTTTATCCAAAAGCTCTAACCTCTTATTATTAAGTTATTACAACACTAGTCAGTACTCTATGCCCACTGCGCAATGTCATCTTATTAACCAAAAGATTCATGATTTTGGTCATTACTCAAAGATGATCCTTACAAAAAGTTACCTAAATAAATAGATCAACTCAAAACGATGATTACCTAGAAAATGAATGATTCAAATCATAGATGACATTGTGAAATAAACTCGAATAAATATTTTTTCCCTTTTTGGATGGTCGTGTAGTTTAAATATCCAAATAAATGATTCTTGGTCCATTCCCATCAACAACACAATAAACTAGTCAAAAAGGTGCAGAAGAGCAGAGTCGATCCTGAGATTTTGAGGGCTCTGTGCGAAACTTAAACTGGAGCCCTCACATAATCTAATAGGAAAATACTAATTTTTTTGTCCTCATGACAGTGTCATAAATCAAATTTTTTTATAATTAAAATTCATCATAATGTAATAACAATCACAAATCAAATTCATAAATTTTTTAATGTTTTCATTTGATAAAGTTAATATTAGTATGTTCGGTTAAAAAGATAAGAGTTCAAGAGAAAGAAGAATGCATGAATTTTTTTGTTTTGTTTTGTTTTGAGTGGAAGAAAGTACTTTTTTTTTAAATGAGAAAGTATATGGACATGATATACATTGCTGTTAGTTTAGTTGGATCTTTCTGGGGCCTTGTACCAAGAGTTATGCATTAAAAACCAGCTCGATCAAATACACTTATGTGTTAATGTGTTGCATGCTAGAGTATATATATAATTTTTATAACAATAATATATATATAATATAAAATAAAAAAATTTCGGGAGCCCTCAAAAATCAAAAGCCCTGTGCGGTGATGCCACTTGTACCTTGCCAGGGCCGCCCCTACAGAAGAGTCCATGTATTGTGGTCAAAACTTCAAATACAGCTGTTACACTGTATGTACATGCTAAAACACCAGAATAGTCCAGAAAGTTTGTCGGCACCGACGAGAAACTTGGACCATCTAGTCGGCCTGAAATTTCCAAAAGTCTTTGGGCATTTCCACAATGCTTTTCCAACCCAGTCAACTACTTCATTCAGGCCCATTCAAGTAAGGAAGCAATATTTTTGCATTAATTTGATGAAATGAATTATATCGATCGATAAAATGACTCCCACATTTAATTATCATATGATAAAACCTGTTACTGTTTAATTTTAATTTTAATTATAAAAGATGATAACAGAAAAGTAACTAAAAAAAAATAAAGTTGAACTTATGATTGGACTTTTGACTTAAAACATAGGATTGAATGATTGTGAATTATTTAATATTCTCCATAAGGAGGATATTTATACAAGTACAAGTTGACTTTCCTACAAGGAATCCTAACTAGGTAACTACTCTAATTAGGTAACGTGAATCACGCCCGGAAATCAGGGCTCACACCACCATTTTGATTTATATATAATTTAAGATTAAAGAGCACGTATGTGGATGCTATAAGAATTCATTCTTTAGTTGCAAGGTATCGCTTTTGGAATAGCCAAACGAATTGAATATCTTTGGCTAGGGTGTCACCATTGCCACTTCTGATATAACACACACATATATATTTTTATATATCCAAAATAAAAAAAAAAAAAAAAAAAAAAAAAAATTTACAATGCTAACCAGTCATTTAGGTCTACTTAATAATATTATTAAAATGCTCCGAAGCGTTCATTTTTTGGATCATGAATTAACATTCTAACATAACTAAAATAAACTAGTCTATATATTGTTTTCAAGGGAATAGACCATTCTCTTCTCTAAACTCAAAGGTGCAGAAGATACCATGTATGTGCTCAAAACTATTGATTAATATTCAAACACAGCTGTCACCCCAAGGAAATTTCCTTTCAGGTGAAGAAGACTAATCAAATTTCGAAAAGGTTTTTGGGCCTAGTGAAGCAAGAAGCCGAGTGCCGGCAACGTAGAGGAAGACTTTGACCATATACTCATGTTATGTGGTTCTCATCCTATTTCAAAAGAAAAAAAGGACAAACAAAAAAAACAAAGAAAGTTCAATGAGAACTAAACACTTGTTCCACAATAGACAAGTACTTAAGCTTGGGAATCTCTCCAACCCACTCCTCAAGTCAGGAAATATTTTATGCATTAGTGATTATTTGGACTTTATAATACAATGCCAACTAGTGGTTTGGGTCCACTTAATAATATCATTAAAATAGATCCGAATTATCTTCTTTGATTTCTCTCTGTCATGATCTACTTGAATTTTCTTATAAGCATACAATCTCATTTAAATTTCATCCAAAAGCCAAAAAACAAAGAAAGTTCAATGAGAATTAAACACTTGTTCCACAATGGAGAACTACATAAGCTTGAGAATCTCTTCAATGTCAGGAAATATTTTCTGCATTAGTGATTATTTGGACTTTCTTTGTTTTGATAAAACATGTATATTTTTTAACCCACTTCCCACATATATATTTAATGATAAAACATGTTACTTTTTATTTATTATTTAAATTATTTAAAACATAACCCAAAAATGAGAAAAGACTAATAAGGTTTTGATGTAAATTACGCAAAACACGAGGCAGGCAGAATCTGAGTTTCTGAAATGCAGTAGGAAAATTAAATCTGTCATTTTGTAGATACTTCTTGGACATCAAAGTACGCAACATTTTTTATTTTTTAAATATGCATTTTATTTTTCAAGATAGTACGTGTTGACGCGTGCATATATTTTGCAAAATTCACACATGTGCTATAGCCTTTGACGTGGACATCCTAAAAACGTTAATGGAAAGTGGGTCATATGGCCTTTCATGGGACCAAGTTGGGCTTTTAGGACTTAGGCATTTCTTCGGGCTAATTTGGTTGGTTTCACTATCTCGGCCCAAGCCCACTTACACGGGCCGGACTATTAGGGCTTGAACGTGTTGTATGGAATTTGGTTGGGCTGGGTTGGGCTACATTGGGTTACTTAAGTTGGACTGGGCTAAGGCTGTTTTTTTATTTTTTATTTTTTATTTTTGAGAATTTCATGATGAACTAAACATTTATAAAGGATTAATTAACATAATATATATATATATATATGAATTATAACATGTAAACATATTTATGCTAGGATCAAATACAGAGTAGAGCTACTAACTTTCCCTTACATAGATCCATATCTTGATTAATATTAATTCACTTCATTTGCATCAGTAATAAAAGTAATTTCTACATATTTTGAAGAAGCTGATGCACAGGGACTTGGATTGTCCACACCAACTTCATCTGCAAGAATTTGTTGTGGATATAAGAAAGGCCTTGGAGGCATTTGGAGGCTCTCAATTTCTCCTTTGAGCATCTCGACTACTTTATTCATTGAAGAGCGTTCGATATGCTTCATTCGAATTTTATAAGAGCACTTCCAGCAGTTTGCCCCTTGCCATGGCAAGGGGGGGCTAGGGCAACTACTATTCACATGAATAGTGGATGCCCTTACCATATCAAGCAATGTGTGTTTCTAGCAGTTGCCTTTTGCCATGGCAAATACTATTCATTTTTTTGTTTTTTGTTTTCACAACTTTTTTTACTTAAACAATTAATTTGGATAATATTTTCGAATAAAATTTTTGGGTTCCTACGTGTCAATACTATTTATATCGGATAAGATTTTCAATTTCAACTTTCAGATAAATTTCAAAATTTAAATTTCAGATAAATTTCAAATTTCAAATTTCAGATACATTTCAAAATTCAAAATTCAGATAAATTTCAAAATTCAAATTTCAGATATATTTCAAATTTCAAATTTTAGATAAACAAAACAAAAAATACAATGAAATGAAAGGCAAGCAAACTAACTTAATGGTTTTAACCAATCCGTGTTGCTAGGTCCATCGTCACGAAAAAGTCTTCGTCTCATAACATCCCTTCATTCTAGTTTCCAAAATTGTTTTGTTTCAAGGGACATATGGCTTGTATCCATGGTCATGGTTTCCTGATCCGTTTTTTCAATGTTTTGTTGGCGTACATACTCCCTTTCATGGCGGCTATACCCCCTTTCTTTTACATATTCTAGTTGAATTGCCCTACCGTGCTCTTGTTGTTTCATGTCCATTTCAATTCTCATGGCTTGGTGCTTTGAAATGTCCTCCAAAAATTTAGATGCATTCTTGGTAGAATTACTCCATTTCTTCACCTTCGTCGCCTTCCTCCCAATAGGCCTCGGCTCTTTTTTGATAGGTGAGTCTTGACTCATTCGGGAATCCATAGGTGAATCCGATGTCAGTGTCTCATGGAGTGGCGTCTCGTTCAACACCACCGTCGGACCCGTTGGAATAATTCGGAATCTCTTACAATTCTTCACCGCCTCCCAACATTAGGTATGGTTGAAACTTTTTTTGCCTTGCCCAGTAGCACCAAACCACATTTGTGCTTGCATAATCTATAAAAAAAAAAAAGGGAAATGCAAGAAACTTTAAAAATTATTGGCAATGCAACAAGTATAAAAAATAATAATTGAAATGCAATAAACTTTAAAAAATATTTTAAAATATATATAAATTGCAAGAAACATTTAAATAAAAATTAATATGACATAGAAATTAATAAAACGAAAATTACAAATAATTTACCTCATTACAAAGGTTTTCCCTGCTTCTATGGTTGTCCATCACTTTTGCCAAGGCATCTCTCCATTTCACCAACTTTTTATTGAGAAATTTCCACCTACTAGATAATGCCATTTTCGTATGGGTCGAACCAATTGCCCTTTCACAAAATTCTTGATGAATTTTTTTCCACATATGACAAAATTTCATCTCATTGCCCGTTACGGGACAATGACTAATTTGGACACAATACTCACACAACAAAACATTTTTCATCATGCTCCATGCCCCTCCGGTTTCACTAGAATAAGCCATAATATGATAGAGAAAAATACAACTTGAAAGTGAAAAAAATATAGAGTAGAAAGTGAATAATAGTAGAAGGAGAAGAAATGTATGAGGATTTGGTGTTAAAAGTGAAGAGTATTGGTAGGTATTTATAGAAGAAAAAAAAAATTCAGTAATTTTTTTTGTATTTTTAAAAAAAATTTCTGATTTTTTTAATTTTTTTATTGCACAAAAATTGGCTGCCGTTGGATTGCTAGAAAAAATCTTATCGAAGAGCCTAGTGTGCGCCACGTGGAAGCTAGCCGTTGGGGGAACTGTAGCGGGCACGTCAACGCACGCGCCAACTTTAAAAAAATTTGAACACCAGGGCTAACGTCGTCGTGACGTCATCTCCAAAACATGGGCTGGGGCTCGTGCCAGCCCAGTTTGCTGGGTCCCACTCCTTGCCCGGGCCACTTTTTGTTGCTGAAAACAGCATTTTGGGCTTGCCACAGTTTGATACATGCATAGTTTGATACACTTTACTTGCATTTTGGGCTTGCTGAAAAGAGAGAACACATTGATACATGCATAGGCGTCTTGAGTATGCATGTTAGATTCTTTGCTTTCTTTCTGGTCATTCCGTTTTCCACAGTTTAGCTGTTTGGAAAAATCCGTGCTTGAAATCTCCCATCAATGATGTCTTCATCTTTTAGCTTTGCTTTATTGAACCCCCTACTCTTCTATTTTGTCCCTTTATTTTCTGATTTAAAATATTTCCTGTAAAGGATATCATCTAGTTTTAAGCATGAAATTATGAAAAAGATAAAAGAAACAAAAGAGGATCAAGGATCGAAGAAGATCTTGCTGCGTCTTTATACGCGTGCAATACGATTTTAAGGAGACGTGCTTTAACAAATTTACAAACAGGTACATAATAAGCAAGCCAATTGGTCTGAAGGGATATCCTTTGCTTGTGTGGCAAGACCAAGTCTTGTTCTAGGATATCCTTAGCTTGTGTGGCATGACAAAGCCTTTGTTCTTTGAGATGATCATGAGCCACAAATGATGATATCCTTAGCTAGAGAATTTAAGAAATGTGTTTTCTGTGTCCCACTAATTATGTTATTTGTTTTGTTAACACACACCGTGTTAAGGTTCTACGGCACACCTCATCAAGGGTGTCCGGTTCTCATCACAAACGTTGGCACACACAACAAAAAAAAAAAAAAAACAAAAAAACAAAGGAAAAAAAAAGAAGGAAATATCTTTTAAGATCCCCCAGTTATGAATGATGGCAGACATCCAAAGATATATCCACTAGACAGTTTTTTATTGAAAGAAAATCGCATTGAATTGAAAAACAAGGAAAATTACAACCGACCTGCAACATTTTTGTAACAAAAATGGAAACAAATCATCTAATATATTTTGACAGAAAAAAATAGCATTTATTAAGGTATTGCTTCTTCTTCAATCCATGCTTGGAAAAAATAATCATTCCTGATTTGTTCCATGAAGAATGCGTCAAGTTATTTTAAAAAATAACAATAAAAATCGCTATATATATATACTAGAGAACTATCCATTGTACATACTGTGTACAATTAGGGTTAAATCTTATAGTTTGCAGAGCTTTCGTGTACGGCTGCTCTCCTATATTCAAACGTTTTGTTCAGTCATGGAGATGATCATGCATCCGGTGAGTAGTTTTGCCGAACTTTAATTCATTTATTTCAATCATAAAATAGTTGATTCATGCTTTGATTACTAGATATATTAGGTTGACTTCATATTTTTCCATGGCAATCTTTTTCTGTTATTTTCAAGAAAGAAGATAGCTAAATTTATTTTCTTCATAGGAAAACGGAAAACATTTATTGTAGGAATTCATGAATTTTTCATGGAATTATATAATCGTGGGAATGTGAATGCATCGGATTCTATCAAACCTTTTTTAAGTATTACTCAAATTCTATTTTTGCTTACTCTAACTTTGTTTCGCTATATGTTTTCACACTAGACCCTTTATCAAACTCCCTGTTGGTAAGTTATCTCACACTAGTCCGCATACGTTTAGTTCGACAACTTTCCTCAGCTAGAGATCATATCTCTGCCTTCAATCCGGATCCCTTCGCCGCCACGCAATCCACTCCCCGCCATGAGTGAAAAGATAGCCAACGTCAACGTCGGCTGCATTAGCAGCAGGAAACTAAAGTGGTTCGCATGGGGCACCGGAGGCCTTATTGTCTTTATTGGCCTCCTAGTGTTTGTTGTGTTCCTCGTTCTCCACCCCTCCAAGCCAAGCTTCAACCTCGAAGACGTCACCGTTTATCAGTTCAACGTCTCCAAGGTACCGCCCTACGCCATCACCATCATCATGCAGGTCACACTGTCCTCTAGAAACCCTAATTCTCGGATAGGCGTAGAGTACCAGCCTCTCCACGTCTACGCCACATATCGAGACCAGCAGATAACAATGGCTTATCTCTTGCCTCCTACGTACCAAGGACACAAGGAACCTGTGGTGTGGTCACCTCCTTTGACTGGCTACGACATGCCGATTTCGCCATATTCGCAGCAGTCTTTGGATCAAGATTGGCATGCTGGGGTTATCCTGATGAATATCAAGCTTCAAGGGGACGTGAAGTGGAAAGTAGGGACTTGGATTTCGCCCAAGTATCACTTGTACGTGCATTGCCCGGCGAATATCAGGTTTGGGGATTTGAACAACGGTGGTCCAAACCTCATCAAGGGTCAGCCGGTGGATCATTGCGATGTGGAGATTGCTTCTTAATTTTTTTGTTTTGTTTTGGTAAAGAGGAGGGCTAGCACCCAGATCAACTGCTTCTTAATTAATTTGATTTCTCTTTTAATTATCCCCTTGCTTTTTCAATTTTTGAGTTCTTGTTTCTTTTTGGGAGGATATATATGATTTAAAGGAATTCAAATTCTTATATGTTAATAAATCCCCTGTCTATGATTAACGTAATTTAGTCTTCAAGATACGAAGTCATCATTCTCTGACTTCTTGGATGACCAAAATGCAAACATGGTCAAACCGTATATATAGATCTGCTGTACGCTTTTCATCAAACACGATCCAAACACATGTCAAATATATACTTGAATTTTGTTAATGTTCCCCTAGCAAAGACCAAGAGATGTTAGTAAATAATGAAAAGAAGCTTGCTCAACAGTCTTAAGAAAGAAGGAAAATAGTATTACATGTATAGAAATGCTAATTACATTATTAACCGGAATTCTCTAACATAGGTGTCACGCTATGTCAAATGCAAGGGCATTAAGACTGAAAATGTATGGAAGTAATATTTGTCATTAACCTATAAATGCATGTACGATTTGACTCAATTGGAATAATTTTTTCCTACAATTTTTGTCATTTTTGTCACATATCTTTTGAAGATGCTCTTATACAAGTTAGTTTTATTTAATATATTTTACTAATGCCTATTTATGTTCACCCAGCGCACCAGTGGTCTAGTGGTAGAATAGTACCCTGCCACGGTACAGACCCGGGTTCGATTCCCGGCTGGTGCATCACTCGTCAGTTTTACTTTTTCTGATTTAAATTTCTTTTTGACGTAACAGTCCACCAACCTCCTTGTCCAAAAAAAGACAGTCCACCAAACTGGGAGGAGACGACCCTAAAAAACCTTAAGAAAGAAAAGGAGAAAAAAACAGAGAGCAGAAAGTTTAGAAAGATGGCTGAAGATAACACAGTCGAAATTCCTAGAGTTAAATTGGGAAATCAAGGACTTGAGGTGCGTACATCTTACTCTTCAACTTATCCTTTCCTGTTCATAGTTTTCAAATTACGACTCTAAAACCCAGTCAGTTGCATCTTTTTTCCAGAAAGCTGACTTCTTGGGTGGAAAACAATCCAATGATTTAATCCTAACGCAGGGTAGACTTTGTATTAACAAATCCAATTTATATTTGGGATTGATCTATTAGGAAAGGGATCTAAAGAAATTACATACAGGAAAAATAATATGGCCGAGGGGAAGAGAAATCAGATTCCAAGACTGAAACTTGGAACAGTTTTTCCTGCTTTAGTTCAGAATTTATGATTTCCTTTCAGGTCTCAAAATTGGGGTTTGGGTGCATGGGCTTGACTGGAGTCTACAACTCTCCTGTCGCTGATGAGGATGGAATCTCGATAATCAAAGATGCCTTCAGTAAAGGAATCACTTTCTTTGACACATCTGATGTATATGGACCTCATTTGAATGAGATTCTTATTGGGAAGGTATGCATGTCTCTCCGCTTCTGAATTTGTCAACAACTTCTGAATGATTACACGAACTCCACAAGTCAATGTTTTGTATGTTTCTATTCTTGTCAAGAAGAAGAAACTTGCAGCTGCCTTACAAGTAACGAAGGACTTTCCTATTGATTTTCTGCGAGCCTAATTGCAAAGTTTTAATTTTCCAGGCCTTGAAGCAGTTGCCAAGAGAAAAAATTCAATTAGCCACAAAGTTTGGTATTACCGGCACCGTTGACCCTCCTACTATTGTAATCAAGGGTACTCCTGAGTATGTCCGTTCAGCCTGCGAAGCTAGCTTGAAGCGTCTTGGTGTGGACTACATTGATCTGTATTACCAACATCGGGTGGACACTTCGGTGCCTATAGAGGAAACTGTATGTGATTCTCTTCCTTATTCAGCTGCAACCACCGCAATTGCATAATGAACTCTGCATGTTAGTTTGATTATATACCTTTTCGTTTTCTTTCTGGAGTTTAGATTGGTGAGCTGAAGAAACTGGTGGAAGAAGGGAAAGTAAAGTACATCGGTTTATCAGAAGCTAGCCCGGACACAATAAGGAGGGCACATGCAGTTCATCCCATCACAGCTGTACAAATGGAGTGGTCTCTCTGGACTCGTGATATTGAGGAAGAGATTATTCCACTTTGCAGGCATGTTCAAAATCCTATCTGAGCTATAAAAAAAAAGTCCTCTGAATCAAACTCAAGCTCTACCTATTACAACTCTAATATGTGTCAATTATCTCATTGGATGGTGTAATGTTATCACATACAGGGAGCTTGGCATAGGTATAGTTCCATACAGCCCTCTTGGTCGTGGGTTTTTCGGTGGCAAAGCAGTTTTAGAAAGTGTGCCTGCAAATAGCTTCTTGGTAAATGTTTCTTCACCAATTTTTCTGCTTAGTTCATTGTAAAACCAAATGTTCCCAATTATATTCTTTAAGCTGTGATTAATTTTGTGCATCTTTCCATGAGGAAGCTTTGAGGGGACTTTACTTCATCTCCTTACATTTATTATTTCTTAGGAGAAGGAATGTTCAGAAACCTGATCCATTTTTCTTTTTTATGTTTTCTAAGGCCTCAAATCCTCGGTTCATAGGCGAGAACTTGGAGAAGAACAAGAACATTTACAATCAAATAGAAAGCCTTGCAAAAAAGCACCAATCATCTCCTGCTCAACTAGCACTAGCATGGGTTCTCCACCAAGGAGATGATGTTGTGCCCATCCCAGGTGAGCTATCATTACACTTTTGTTATCTGCAACTTAAATTAACAGACGTGCCAAAGGTGAATTAGTTTAAGGACTTTTGGTTAAGTTGTTTTTTCTTTGAAAATAGTTTTAAGATGTAATCAGAGGCAGAACTTTGATTATGCTTCTGAGTGACAGCATGTTGTACACTAACTCGAGTCAAGCGAAGAAAAGTTCTTACACTCCATGTCCATAGTCCATATTGCTCATTTGCTTTGAATTTTCAACTGCTTAGGGACAACAAAGATTAAGAACCTGGATGCAAACATTGGCTCCTTGAGGGTGAAACTTGGAGAAGAGGACCTGAAAGAAGTTTCTGATGCTGTCCCAATCGACCAAGTAGCTGGTGATAGAACCTACTCAGGCATGACGCATTTGCAATGGAACTTTGCCAACACTCCTCCAAAGGTCTAAAGGAACTTTTGTATTGATAAGTTATGTGGGATTGTATAGAGTTGAGTAACTGAACAATCATGGGTACATGCATGATACATTTCTCTTCTATTAATAAAGAAATGGTGTAATTTATTAACCGACACCTCCAAAAACCTCTGAAACAACTGCACAGATTCCCATTCTATTTTCTTTTCTTCTCCTCTTTCTCTGTATTTCCTTCTCAGAAAACAGATTTGAAGAAGACCCAAGTTGGCTTACAATTCTTGCTTCCTCAAATAGTCTGGTAAGATTCAGAAAACATTGTTTATCTGTTTAAAGAGCTTCATAGGTTCACTAGCTAAGTCTTTTTTCATAAACACCTCTGTATTTTTTGTAGTAAGTAGTAACGGACTCTACAACCTATAAAGCAACTCAAAACCAAAAACTACAAGCCATTAGATAGTAGGAAACATCCTTAACCAATCAAACCAGTAACTGAAAACCAAAAACAACATGGAATAACCCAAAAAACTCGAGCATAAACAAAAGTGGTTGTTAAACTACACATTTCTTGACAGCATAAACCCATGGTTTTGTTGAAATCTAGAAGCTGGGATACCCTAATCAAAATTTAGCCAAATCATAAAACTGCAAAACTACATGCATTTTTGTTGAAATGCACAAGACCCAACAGAAATAGAACTTCTGTGTAGTGTTCGAAATTGAAACAAAAATTTTCACCCACAATCTGTTATATACTTTGCCTTCTACGTGTTTGTTGAAATGCCCGAACCAAAATTTCTTCTTAACTCGAAAAACTCAAGCATGGAAGTATAAACCCATGTATTTCCAGAAGCTAAAATACCTAAAACTACTATGTAGTGTAGGAAATCATTTAGAAACAACATATATGCAAATCCAAAAGGCAAAACAGAAATACAAAAAGAAACGTGCTGCTTAGTTTGCGCAATAGACGAAGAAGAAGAATTTAGAAACGAAGGCAAAGGTGTCAGACCCATTAGTGACTGCAATATAGTTTCTCATTTAGTGAGGCAGTGAGAGTTTCTTACATTTTTTTTTCTTTTCAGAGTTTGAGAATGAGTTGCAGCGCTTGTTTTCGTCGATGTTGGTGGTCGTTGCTTTCTGATTGCTTTTCTATTTTCAGAGAGCGAATTTTCAGAGTGAAATGGCGAGGGTTATGCTTGTGAGTATGTGAGTGTTTTTTCTTGGAGTGGGAAGGAGTGCGACTGGATGGAATGGTCAGACGTCGTGGGCGTGAATTTCGTTGTCGCGGGCGTGATTGGGTGTTGCTGTCGTTTTGGGTAGAAATTTGGCGTCGCTGCTGTCGTTTTGGGCTTGATGGAAGCACCTACAGGCCACAGATGTAAGAAAGTGTTACAAAAATAAACATTCAATATAAGATTGAGACAAAAAAAAATTTGATGTATTAAAGATTGAAACTCGGTAAACTTCAATATAGTAAAATGAAAATTACCCTTAAACAATTCATTTTTTTAAAAATAAACAATTTCTTAAAGTAATAACACATTAATATTTTAAAAAATTAATTTAAAAACAAAAAAACAAAGTGGGTCCGTAATTTGCCACATCATCAATTTCACAAACAATTAAACGGTTAAATTAACGGAATGTGAAAATTGATTGAATATTAAAATATCGGGGTGTAAATTGATGAAATTGAACCTCCGTAGTCCATTTCGATAATGCCCCAAACTTAGAGGATATAATGTGGTTAACTTTTTTTTTCTCCCCACTTCTTTTTCATGTAACTTTTCTCTTTTTCTTCCATCTTGTTTCTCTCCTCTCTCTACTTTTCTCTTTTTCCTCTCTCTGTTTCTCTCTTCTTTTTTGTTTCTCTCTCTACTTCTCTTTTGTTTTTCTTCTTTTTCTCTCTCCCGTTGTCTGTGGCCTTCGTCAATCGTCAATTTCGTTATCGGATTTTGTAAATCTCGAATCTAAGTTTGTTTGTGGTTGCTGATAGTTTTTTGAGATATTTAGTTATATACCCATTATTAGCACTAAAATTATAAATAAACCCTACACCATTTAATTCTATAAACAAACCCAAAAAAAAACCCCAAAAAATGATAGATGACCCCTATTGAATTTAATTTTGATTATTAAATTACCTTGATGCCCTTGGGCTGTTTTATGAGGTTTTGAGGCTGAGTTTGTTTTAAGAAATCAATGGTAGTTTTGTAATTTAAAAGAAGTTAAAAGTTTTTTGTTAAGTTGTAAATGATATTTTTATAACTTGGGCTACTATATATGATATTTTTATAATTTGGGCTACTATATTAGGTATAATAGTGAATCTTCCTAGTTTTTTTGAGTTGAGTGAGTAGTTTTTCAATTTTAGTCTTCCTTAATTTGGTTTCTTGTGGAATGGGCCTTGCTTTTGGCTTACCCAAGTGTCCTTTTTTTTTTTGCACTTATATTTATTTTGTTTTTCTTCTGTTTTAAATTCATGTCGTTGAGAAGCAATTGTTTGCTGTTTTTTTGGAAAATATTTTTGCTTACCACTTTAAACAAAGGTGTATGCTCACTACTGTACTTAATACTTGACATGCTTCCATTGGCATAACCGCAGTTAACATTTTACTTTAATTTACATAATCATGATTATGCCTATAAACACGTGTCAAGTAGTGGCAGAGCCAGGATTTCAAATTAGAGGGGGGCCTTCACAAATTTTTAAAAGATAGTCTAAATTAATATGACACTAACATTTTATATTGATTAATAATATATCCATTCGTTACAATCATAATTGTCCACAATTTCATATTTTATAATACTTAAATACTAATCTCATCATCTACATTATTATAGACTCAAAAATTAATAATTTATATTCCTACATAGAGAAGAAATACAAAAATGGTTCACAAAATCTAATATTAAGGTACCCAACTCAAACATGACAAAAGACAGGGAAATAAAAATTCACAAAGTTTAACTTAAACAAAATATAAAGAGAGAAAAAGGTTAAAAATGTAGGAGTGTAAATATCACAAACTAACCTAGAAGGTAAAAGAGAGAAGTAAAAAAGAGATTAAGAAGTTTCCCCATAACAACATGATTACATCCTTGGGACCACACATAAATAATGAGTGATAAGCCATAATCAAGTCAATGGTCCTATGCCCACTGGGAACTCGTGCAAATCATGACAGTTGATATTTCCTAGAGATATTTCTTAATGAGTTTAATTTCTACAGAGTCTGGTTAATAACAATTTATTATTTTTTACCTGTCTATCTAAACATATCAACAAGATTAGTCTTTATTACGATTATTCTGGCTCTTTAAAAAGCAAAGATAATCTGAGTAAAAGCAAAGCTAAGTCTTTTTACATTCCTCCATAGCTGGATTCCTTAATTAAGAGAGCATATGTGCTCACTATTTTAATTCAAAGTGTATTCTTACTACTATTTTCAATAATTGATATGTGTTTATATGCATAACTATAGACTATAGTTCCATAAATACAAAGTAAAAAACTAAATATTGTTATACATATGGATACGTGTCAAGTATTAAGAAAGATAATGATGATACATCTTAAATTAAAGTGGTGAGCAAAAATATTTCGAAAATTTAAGGAGGAGCTCTTTTTTAGAATAAATAAAATTATGACACTTGTCAAATTTCGAAAGAAAAATTAAAGGAATTCAAAAGCAAAATAAAGTTAAAAGATTTTGACAAGTGTCAAAACATACTCATCTTCAATTTTATGGAGCCAAACTTTTCCCCTTTGATATTCGCGCAATACAAAGTATAATCGATTCATATACTCACCCTCTTCTTGGATGAATGAAGCAAGTTCAGTTCCAACACAGACACTGAGAGAGAGAGAGAGAGAGAGGAGAGAGAGAGAGAGAGAGAGAGAATGGGGGTGCCTTCTTTCTTCCGTTGGCTGGGCAACAAGTATCCCAAAGTGGTGGTCAAGGCCATTGTCGACCAGAGAGATGAGTCCACAAGCTCACCAAACCCAAATGGCATGGAGTTTGATAACCTTTATCTTGACATGAATGGGATTATCCATCCCTGCTTTCACCCGGAATCAGATGAAGATGGAGTATGAACTTATTAATTCCTATAAATTCTCTTCACAAGCTATAAGAATTTTCAAATTTGTTTTATTTTATCCTTAGTTATATATTTTAATTTCTACTGTATTTATTCAGGTGCAACCAACTAGTTTTGAAGAGGTGTTCATCAATATTTTTGAATATATTGACACACTTTTCAACATTGTTCGACCAAGGAAGCTTTTATACATGGCCATAGGTGACAAAATTTCTTTTTTTTTTCCTATGTTATAATACTTTTGTAAGATTTTTGCTTTCTCTTGATCATCTCTTTACTTTAGTTGATATGCGTATCGTTATGTATACTTTGAAATTGAAGTAGTTTATATAAGGATATAAACTTGATGATTTCTTGTAGATGGAGTCGCTCCAAGGGCTAAAATGAATCAACAACGTGCCAGGCGTTTCAAGTCTGCCAAGGACAAGGAATTAGCTGTGGGTTTTAAGCTTTTAATTAATATATTATGTTTCTGAATCACACAAACTTTCTTGTACCCGCTTAATGTTCATACAAATACGTAAATTTATACCCCAAAATGTTGGTATCAACTGTATAGGATGCTGAAGAAGAGAAGCTGAGAAGACAGTTTGAATTGGAAGGCAAACAAGTGTTACTAAAAAAGGAAAACGAAGTCTCAGATTCAAATATAATCACCCCTGGAACTGATTTTATGTACAAATTGTCGAATGCTCTTCGCAGCTATATTAGTTTACGCTTGAACAATGATTCAGGCTGGAGGGACATCAAGGTCTGCTCCATTTGTGCCACTCTAATTTCAACTTGACGAACACATGATCCATCATTTTTCATTTTCTCTCATCTCTTTTTTGTTTTAACTTCATGATTATTGATTTAGGTGATTCTTTCTGATGCCAATGTTCCTGGAGAAGGGGAACACAAAATAATGTCTTTCATACGCCAGCAGCGTAATTTTTCTTCGTATGATCCAAACACCTGCCATTGCTTGTATGGATTGGTATGAATGATTATATGCTGAACACAACTATTTAATAGTTTTTGTAATTTTTTGTTTTCCATATTTAATTTTGCTACAATAATATATAGTTGGAAAATCTGGAAGAAGGAAAAGAACTATATGGGAATGAACATGTTTCTGTTTAAAGATTGTCTTTCATAAATTCCGCCCCCCCACACAATTGAATTCTGACATTGTGGTGAATTATTGGCATGCAGGATGCAGATTTGATAATGTTGGCTTTGGCAACACATGAAGTTCATTTTTCCATATTGAGAGAGGTTTTACAAGTCCTTTGCATTTTTCAAATTTCATATAGAAGTTTCCTTGGTGGTTTCTTGGTCACATTGGCTTTTAAGGTTTCCAATAATTAATACCCCAATTGAGTGAGGTCTGCCTAGCTAATGCACTAGGAACCAAAATCCGGGTTATAAAATTTTTCCTTATACTAATCCGGGTTGTAGGTTCTGATAACTGATGAAATTTTAAGTACTTCAATTTCTGGATACAGGATGTTCTAAACCAGGAGCAGCAACATGCAAACTGTCAATCTGTTCGAGAAATGACTCCGTCTTCTGTAAAGTCAGGCAACAGAAAAGCATCCATTGTAAAAAAGCCCTACCAGGTATTTGAAGTGGTCCTCTTATCCATCACCTGTAGTTTGAATATTGCTCTGTTGTCTCACCTCTATTTTTCCTTCCAAATTTCAGCTTCTGCATGTTTGGATTTTGAGGGAATATTTGGAGCTTGATATGCAAATCAATGATCCTCCTGAGAATTTCAAGTTTGATCTTGAGTGCATAATTGATGATTTTATATTTATGTGCTTTTTTGCTGGAAATGATTTTCTGCCCCACATGCCAACTTTGGAAATTCATGAGGTTCTACGCTAAACTTCATTGATATGTAGTGATGGGAATACAATGTATGAAGCTCAACTCAAGACTAATTTTTTATGAAAACTACTCATTTCCAGAATGCAATTGACTTGCTGATGACTATCTATAAGAAGGAATTCAAAAATCTCGGGGGTTATATGGTTGATATGCTCCGGGTATAACATGATTAGCCTTGTTTCAGTTGCATTTCTTCACCTGAAAAAAATTGTAGATAAGATCATGACCATGCCAATTCTTTTATGCTCAAAAGCAGGTCAATGACAAGAAATCAGGATTCATCAAACTATCCAGGGTTGAGAAATTTATTCTTCTTGTTGGTGCTTATGAAGATAAAATTTTCAAGAAAAGATCAGAACTACGTGAGCGTAAACTCAGACGTCTTTGCCTTAATAAAGATTCTGTAAGTGCTTGTTGCTCAAGTATCATTCATCACTGACAATATTGCATGTATTTGTCTATTTTTTCCATTATGAAACAAATGCTGAATTAATTGGTTGCCAGCTAGAGGAAGAAATTGATGCTGGAAGTTCAGCTACTGATTCAAGCAGTACTTGTACATTGCCTAATGGAGAAGAATCCGAAGCTCCGTCACTTGGGATGTTTGAAAATATGCATTCTCAAGTACGCTGTTGTTTGTGTGTGTTTTCTTTTGTATTCCATGATGAATAATGATTGATAAGATGACTCCGAGTTTCTAGAAGAATTTCAAGATAGGCTTATACTTTAAATTCTTCTAGCAACTCATCGGAGTCATCTTATCAATCATTATTCTTCATGGAAATGAATTTAGTTTTCCTTTGTCTATGTGCTCTAAATTGAAGATTCCATTATCAAACACTCCATTGTTACTTTTCTTTTTTGTTTTCGGGAGTGGGGCAGGGAGTATCTGCAGGTTATTTTGCTTGATTACACACATATATATATGGAATAAAGTAGTTTTACCATGTACTTTGTGACCTGCTGAAGGGGTTTTGGTGTCATTTATATTGAATTTTTGCAGATAATAGAAAATACAAAGGAGTTTAAGCAGAAATTGAAAGATAGCATCAGAAGGAAATCTGATCTGTTTAAGAATGGTGATTTAGGGACGGACAAAGTATGAAGCATTCCCTTCTTGAAGTTTCAATATTCTTTCTCATAATACCTTGTGAAACGTTTACATCCAAGCATATAAACAAATATTTTTACATGCTTTGCTGATTTCTTCCACAGGTACGATATGCTGCTGCAGGCTACAAGGAAAGATATTACAAATACAAATTTTCTGCAGAAGGGCCAGGGGATATTGAAAGCAAAAGAAAGGAAGTAGTACGTGTGGCTTTCATAAATTTTATCTTATACTTCTTTAGTCCACATGATGTTCTTCTTTTTTGTTTCTTACAGAAGCTGCACTTTTTTATTTGTAAAATGGAGGGCCAAAGGCCGCACCAAAACTATTCATCTTACTGAGTTTTGATAAATTGTTTGGTTGATTGTTTGCAAAACCTACACAAAATTAGATGCAATCTTGTGTTATTCCAATAGGGTTTTTGGTAGAACATTTTCTACTTGTGTATTTAACAGATATTTTATTTATTTATTTAATTTTAGATTTCCCCTTATTTGCAACTTCCAATTTCTGATGTACTTTAGGTTAAATACTACACTGAAGGACTGTTCTGGGTTCTCTTGTACTATTTTTCGGGTCCCCCATCATGGACATGGTAAGTCATATGTAATATGGATTTCAGTTATTTACTTGATATTGGTATGAAAAGTAGTGTTACATTACATTCACTGTAATATCCTATCAGGTTTTATCCTTTCCACTATGCGCCATTTGCTTCCGACCTAAAGGGCCTTGGTCAGGTGAAACCTAAGTTTGAAAAAGGTTCCCCATTCTTACCTATCGATACTCTTATGGCTGTGTTACCACCGAGAAGGTAACTATGTTTCTTTGTTTTGTAAGTTTGGTCTTACCAAGTTCTCCAAGAAAATATTACATTCGTTCTTCTTTATAGTGCTCATGCACTTCCGAAAGTTTATCAGACACTTATGACAGATGAGAGTTCTACCATTATTGACTTTTACCCTTCTGGTAAGTACACATTGTGTAATATCAGTTATCTTAGTCCATGGGATCTGATAGAAATTAATTGCAAGCTCTGTTTCATCTACAGATTTTGAAATTGATATGGATGGAAAACGCTTTACATGGCAGGTTTGTCTTCTCTTCTTTCCTTGTATGATTTCTGGTAGTTATTCATTGGTATTGCATTTTCGTTGACATCTAGTGATTGTTCTCTCTTTTACCTTCTAAAATTGTTTTTGACTTTATCATCTCCAAAAGGGCATTTGCAAACTTCCTTTTATAGAAGAAGAACGGCTTCTATCTGAAACGAGAAAGTTAGAGAAGGAGTTGGTGGTATGAAACTTTTTTATATATTTTAATTTCTTAAAGATATGAGATGTTTTTTCCATTCTTATATTTAAATTGTCTTATCAGTTTGTGTTACAATATGTGTAGGGGGAAGACAGAGACAGGAATAAAGAGAAAGTTGATCAATTATTTGTGCTAAGCACACACAATATGGCATCACAGATTGTCGCACTGTTTACAAAGGAAAACTGCCCCATCAAGATTGACAACAGTTTGTGGTAGGTCAATTATCTTTCTAAAGTCTTGTCTTTGTTACTTTGCCTTTTTCTTTTTTCTTTCATGGACCGCTTTTGCAGTATTTTCTAAATGTTAATGTTTATTGATAAGTTCTCTGCCCCCTTTCAGTTCTGGAATTAGTGGTTTTTTCCGTCTTCATGAGAATGCTTCCAGTGTTAAAGGAGGAGATAATAAACTTCAAGAAGACTCTGTCTTGTGAGTAACCAAACTAACGAGTCGTTAATTTTGATCTTGTAAATGTTTTGCTGTCCTGAAGGATAAGTTTTATGAATTTGATTATGTTATAGATGCGTGGGATATGAGCTTCCAAACGATGGTCCACATGTGCCTCGTTTACTTGCTGGTGTAGAGTTTCCTGTCAAGGTATCCGAACTTTCAGAATTTGCAATTATTTTCATGAGCTTGAATGGTCTCGTGCATATATGTTTGTTTTTGTATTTGTTTAATGTGATGGTTTACCTGCTCTGCCACTGCGGATATGATTAGTTCCTTGCTAGCACTGGCTTAATGAGTTCTTGGTATTCTAACTACATTGTTGGGATGCATTTTCCAGTTTAATAGTTAAATGTCCTCACTCCCTAATATACTATCCTTCAACTAGCATAAGAGAAATTCAGTGGCATGTTATAATTAAGCCTAATTTGTAACATTTTCCATCTACATTTGCAGACAATCACTGAAGACGATCTTATGGAGACAAAACTATGGCATGAATATCAGGGAAGCACACCCAGCTCCAGGTTGTTTGGCTTCTTGCTCTGTCTTTCATTTGTTATTCACATCTATATCTACGAATTTCTCTTTAAACTCATTGTTCAAGAACTAAATGCAATGCAGCAGTCAGCTTGTTCAGGAAAGGTTTAGAAAACCAGATAATATGGGAAATCAAGGCTTCTGGAACAATGCTAGATTCACTTCTAGCTCTCCGAATATGATACACAAATTTTCTGGCACTGGATGGGGTTATGGTAGAGGGAAAGCAATTGCAAGTCCTGATTTTGGAGACCGATTTCATGCTCCAGGAAGAATACAGTGTGAAAGAGTAATGTCATCTGGCTCATATTCAGGGAACGGTGCAGTAGCATACAAAAAAGCCGCTCTTCATGAGACACCTGTTTGTAATGAAAAGTGGAGAGTTGCTGGTTCTGGTTCAGGAGATCAAATACGAACCCTTAGAGATTTGCAAATATCGAAGTCGTCATCAAGCCAGTGCTGGAGGCCTAATGGAAGAGTTCAGTCAGCAAACAATGTTTTCTGGCCGTCTAGAAATGGCTTCACACCTGACACAAACCATGCTTGGCAACATGGTCAGTCCCGCGGTAGAGGCCATCAGGACTCCTCGAAGCATTATTCACCTTTTGCTGCTAACCGTTCACCCCAAGCCAGTGGAAGTGCGCACTTTGTTCCACGTAGTTGGGATACTGAAGGTAAGCCCCGCTGGTAGCTAGTTAACACATAGCCCTCTTTGCTTGGCTGCCAAAAGAGCAAGAAAAGCACTGTTTTGTACACATTCCATCTATTTTGTATTTTACGGCTGAAGGATGAAGAATTTTCGATCTGCTAGCTATTTCCTATGCTTCACAATTTCTGCAATTCCATATTTTTGGTAATTAAGTAAGAGTATATTTGGGCGTTCATTTTATATCCTTGGAGATATGATTTGTACGTATGATCTTCTCTTATGGCTATAATAGTTTTCTTGCCCATCCGGCTATACAAAATCTGATAACATTAAAATGCAAACACAGCGTTGGAACGCTATGGTAGAGTTGGGGTTTTTATAACGTCGGCTGACACAGAATTTCGTATAGGGCTATTATATCTTTCTATAGCGTTTTTGTAGTGCTATCTACGTCGATTTGTGGTGCTCTGCGGAGTTGTATTCAGTAGAGTTGGGATTTGTGGTAATGCAGATTTCAATGATATATGTACAAAAAGAGCAAACATTCGATGACTATTATAATTGTTCAGAATTCCATTCACAACCTCCAAAATTACAAATTAATAAACATCTCACCTTGAAGCAGAGTTGCAAACATAAATCCTATATTTCAAGACAAATAGATACATCAAATTAGAACTCCCTTCATGTTCTTCATTGTCACTGTTTGTGCAAATTTCTCACGGGAGAATATTCGCAGATAATTCTTCTCTCTTGTTCGTCCCTCCTTCTAGATTCCTTGCAAGATAAAATAAATCAATCAGAAGGTAGGCTACTTCGGTAGATCGATGACCACTACGCTTCGTTTAGTGTAGAGTACTCATCTAATCCTCTAGGACATAGTTTGGTTTTTTTTGTAGTTGTTACTCCCTTCTCCTCATTAATAAAACACTGCCGTTGTGTAAAAAAAAAAAAAAAAAAAAAAAAAAAAATATTTTTGTTTCTCTTCCAGAAGAAGATTATTGGTAAGTGATGAATTCTATATTTTGTTTTTTATTACTTTGGGCTTTAACCATATTTTGATGGAAAATTTACACATGCAATTGTATAAAAATTTACCTGATGCGAAATTAGTGTTACGTTATTCAATATATACCCAATCAATTGATGAAATGTCGTCAATTAATCGGTTAGTAAATCATAGTGGATATATTTGTTTCAGTTGAAGTCTGCCCATTTTGCTTTTCTTTCGTTCTTTTGGTTAAATCGGTCCAAAAGCCCAAAGCCCAAAGCCCAAAGACCTAAGAACAAAAGCCCAAATCCCCAAGACCTAAGAACAAACTAGTCCTTTGGAACTTAAAGAGTACCATGTACAATAGGAAAAGTGCTGGATTCGAGTCCTAGCATTTGTGTAGTGTATTTGAGTTTAGTATGTTATCGTCATTCTCAATTGGAAGGCTCTTTCAAAAAAGAATGCCCACGTACAAGCTCATCAGGCAGATGAAGTCCAATTAATTGAGAAGACCAAAGTAGATCATCAAGAAATAGGTGAAAGATATGACCAGGCCTGTTACGTACACTACCCAAACACAAGAGACAGCTTGAAAATGAGGGGTAATTCTTAATGCATATGATCATTTATTCCAGAAGCTTCAAGTTTACAGTCAACAATAACAGTACTTCTTGTTATAATCCAAGAAGCGATCCCACTTTGAACTTATTTCATCTACAACATTGAAACTTATTTATTGGTTCAAGGTTTAGAGCTTAAAGTTTAAGGTTTAGTCGCCACAGTCAACAAAGTCGTAGTTGACAGTAAGGTGGCCTTGGGCATTGCCTTGTCCATTAGTGTCTATCTGGTTAAACACATTCACGTCCAAATCTAACCCTCCATTGCTGCACTGATCCACAATCCTCACTGTCACTTGCGCTCCTGTGGCCGTGTTCGTCACCTGCATATAATATCAATTTTACATATATAAATATACCTCGATTAACAAATATAAATTGCAGAAATTAATGTATGTACTAATTAATTATGTTTACTGAAAGATAAATTAGAAGATGATCAACAAAACTAATTAGTACTAATGATTAATTACCAGTAAGCACTTCCCACAAGAATCTTGTCCGGTAGGGCCAACGGGTCCGCAGAAGGCAGTCCATCCATATTTGCTGCGCCATGACAATGGCTTATCAGCATCCCATGTTGCGCAGTAGACACTCGCAGTACGCAAGTCCCAGTTGATATTCTGAGGATTGTACAGGTTGTACGTGGCTCTCACGTTAGAAGCACTTTGCGCAGAAGCGCTGCCCACCACACAGACGATCATCATCGTCAGAAGCACTTTGCCCACAAGCACTTTCTCCATTTTGTGATGATTTGTAATATATTTATCTCTATAATCTGCGATAGTTAACAATTAAAGTCGTCAATGGAGGTGTTGGAGAAGTGGTGGTGCTTGAATGTATATATATAGGGCGGAGGTTTGGTGTTGGAATTTTTTTTTTTTTTTTTTTTTTTGTCAACAATTGGTGTTGGAATTACTAGTACACCCTTTGGAAAGATAATTAGAACTGTATGGGTTGAATTGTATGCCACTACCAAACAGCCAAACTTCACGACTTTATAAGCTTGTTGACTGAAAATTTTCTACAGAGGACACAGTTATAGGACGTGGCAAAGACGGCATAGCCCTGATGCATAAGGAGACTTGGAGTTGTATACAGGCACAAAGACTAGTAGAGTAGTATGAAAATATATTTTCAGATCCATGTTACTATACTTGAGTTAAATAATATTATAATATTATATATTGTATTAAAATGTTATAATTTGGATTAGTTTTCAACTAATTAATTAAAGTGTTGCTTTGGTATTGGTCGTAAATGGTGGCTTGGCATCATAAGATATATATAATTGAACATTGATCGCGGCTCAAAATGAGACGTTGAAGATAAGAGGTAACGTAGAAGCATAGGACTTCAATTAGAAGTAATGGCTATCTGGTCCTTTACCTTATTATCTATCTCTAGGACTAGAAAGCGTCTTTATAATCTAGAAGCAGGAAGGAAGGAGGATAGATTTTCCATTTGGAGTGAGAAAATTTTCAGGCCACCTCCCACCCCGATCTCCACGCCTTGACAATTTTGGCTTGACCTAATTAATTGATTAATTAAGCTAAAAGAGAAACATCCACGGCGCCTATCATAGCAGATTCTGGATATATGCTTTGTATTTGTACCTGTACGTAACCTTAATTAATTAATTGGCAGACTTATTTAGCCCAATTTGGGTTATATATATTCTTCGATTCATCTCATCTCATCTCATCTCTTCTTAAAAGTATTCTTGGATTCATTAATTGTGTGTTAATTGGTTAATTATTTGCTTAGAAGTTGATATATACTATGATCGATGTTCGATGTACACTGTTTTGTAGGTTAAATTTGTAGGGTGTTGTTATTTCCACCCTCTGTCCTATTTCCCCAACCACTATGTAAATTTGAAAAAAGGGTTATTCGTTTTATTAGTCCCTGAACTTAGACCCGATTTGCATTTGAGTCCTTTAATTACCAAAATCGTTCTCGTGGTCATTCAACTTTAGTAGCATTAGGACAAATGGTCATGCCATCAATTTTGTTAACTTTTCTTTTAAATGCATGGGCAAAATGGTAGTACTATTTTGTTATCCCAAGCCAATAATGCTATGACATGTGGAAGTGTTATCACGCGTGTCATAGCGTTATTGGCTAAGAGTAGAAAAATAGTACTATTCCAATGTCATGGAAGTCTTTCTCGTGATGTTGGGGTTGTGGGTAGATGGTGGTTGCTAGGTGGTTGGTGTTATTTGGGTGGTGGCTTGTTGGGTGGGGCCTCGGAAAGAGGCAAGTGATGATGGGCCTATTGCCATGGCAACTCAATGGCAATTACTATTCACATGGGATTAATTTTATTTATACATATGACATTAATAAAGAAAAAATTGCTAGGTATATATATATATTTTTTAAAAATTATGATTTTTTTGCTATTTTTCCATTTTATATCTTTGCTGACGTTAGGATGACATCAGCGCCCTTAGGCAACAGCTCAAGCTGTTCTTGCCTTCGGACCTATCCAGTCTTGGTGGAGCCCACCTCCTACCCGGGCTACAATTGACTGGTGGAATGAGTTTTTCTAGCCCAAGGGCACTGGCGGATCCAGAAATTTTTTAGCGGAGGTGCAATATTGACCAAGTATGAAAATTGTTTTTCGGAAGAATCATTTTCTCAAGATAATTTTTGGCTGCTTTTATTCCTTATACATCAAATAAGAAAACTTGATTTTATGGGATTTTAGTATGAAATATATATTGACTTAATAAGCCATCATTTTTAGCCTAAATCGTATTTTGCACTAAAACCGAATTTTCATATTTTTATTTGGTGGGAATTTGATTTTCTAGTATTTTTATTTGAATCCAAATGGGGGGTACTTCCTTATTTACATTGTAAACTTAAGTAAATTGAGTAATATAAAAATAAATAAAAGTAAAAAGACAAAGACATTTACTTAAATGTTGAAAATGAAAATAAGGTAATCTGTACACCAGTTGAGCAAAGGGGCAATTTGAAGCACCTACAATGGTTTTTCCGGCGAAGGGAGGTGCAGCTGCACCTCCTTGCGCCTTAATAGATCCGCCCCTGCCCAAGGGGCCTTTTATCACAGGTAGAAATATCTCCTATAAAAATTTTAAAGATAAAGTGAGTGGGAAAATAGAATATATGTGAAAATATTAGCACTCAATTTGTATTACCTTTTTTTAACTTTAACTTAATTACGAGATAATATTACCCAATGACAAGGAGAGATTGCCTGCATCTGCATGTGGTTGCCTTGGTCAGTTTAATTTCCATTGGCAGTATTCTCTGCAGTCTATGATGATCAAGCCACATAAGTACAGGGATTGCTTTTCTTCTATGACTCCCACTTTGAACTTTTTGCACGTCTCATTATGATGAGAATTCAAATTAAGCACAAATACTTTGATGTGGTGATGGTAAAGTTTTGAAGTTTCTTTAGATATTACGGACCACTCATTTGCTTTCACTATCAAATAATTTGTTTTTTGTACTCGTTGTGATTTCATTTCTCGTAATCGTAAAAAGAATATCTTGTATCACAAAGGCATGATTGTCACGTGTTGAAAACATAGTATGATAAGGATCGTAATTAGGATATGAAGAATGAGAATAAATTGATTTGTAAAAATTGAATGAAAAACATATCGAAGTAGAGAACTATATTGGGAGTGCGATAATGTAAATCTAGCTCTAAATTCACATTTTGGACAACAACCGATTTAATTAGATTTGATACTTGATGCATTTAATTTAGCTCCATTTCATCTAATTTCGTCTTTCATATACAAACTAGTACTTCTACCAGGACTGCTCTGTAACCAATAACATATAAGTTATAGAAGGAGCAGCATTTTCGTTCGTATGTATTGGATCAATTATCGTAAATTACCCAAATTATGGGGTCATTACAAACTCATACCCAATTTTTAAAGATCCGTTTAACTGGTACTCAAATTTATGGAAATCTTACAAATAAGAATCTTTATTACTCAAATCGTTAATAAGTCTGTTAATTGTTATGTGGCAAATGTGTGGGTCTCATTTTTTTTGGTTTTTTAAGAAATTAAGGAGAAATTATAGAATGGTATGGTATCACCACATCAGCTGGTGATACTCTCATTCAAAATCTGCCATTTGTCTGTTTTTATATTTAAAAGTTAAAATTAATTACAGCTGGATATGAAATTATACTTTTACCCTTTCAAATAAAATCTTAAAAATGGAAAAAAGAAAATAGAGAATGAGTAACCAAAACTATCTCCCTCTGCTGCCGCACCCGGCTCTTTCACTCTCTTCCCTACACCTTTCTGTCCTCTCAACTTTACACTTTTTAATTGAATATGCAGATCTCATTCAATTGAATATGACTTGCCCAAAAGCTGACTTGGGATCAATTGGAATACACAGATCTCATTCTTCTAAATGAGAGAGAGAAACTGGGAGAGCGGGGGTGATGGCCAGGGGAGGCAAAGCTGAGTGCAGTGGTTGGTGTACAATATTCTAGTTTTTTCGATTTTTTATTCTTTTTATTTTGAGGGAGATGAATAAATGGGCAGAATTTCAATGTGGGAATAAACAACAAATGTAAGATAAAATAGTTGCTGGTACAGTACAGAGAGATGGAAGGAGGATTAGAAACTCAGAGAAAGGAAGCGGCAAACGGGAATTGGTAATTTCAGTCGGGTGGGAGTCTGGTGCAATTTTCTTCTTTGTAGTTTTTCTTTTATTAATTTTATTGTAAATGGTAAAATTGGATGTAAAAGTCCAGCTGTATAAAAAAAATGTAGTTTTCTTTAAAAAGTGACAAGAGGCAGATTTTAAATGGGAGTATCACTATGTGATGTAGTGATACCGTACCATTCTATAATTTCTCAAAATTAAGAACCATGTTTATTGGCTGTGTATGTATAAAATTAAATTTGAAAATGAATTTAATTTATCTAAAGGTTCTACTCAGGTAGTTATTAGTAGTATACAAATAAATTATTTTATTATTGTTGTCTTCATCAAACCTAATTACGGCTATATTGGTGCCAAAATGTGCAAATGTTTGGAGCTGAATTTGTGAAAGGTCAAATTCTGGTTTATGTGAAGTTTATTGAATGGCTTTTATCACAAAACGTTTCATGGAGTTAACGAAACTATCAGGTTGAGTTATCACAAAACAAAATTTGTTTAATTTTCCAATTATACCCATATAAAATTAAATAATAAAAGACTACATTTAATGATATACTGTAATTCTTTTTTTTTTAAATATTAAAAGTGATAGTAATTTTATTGATAACACAAAAAAAAATACAGAGTAGCCATAATGTCAAATATGAGTACTCCAGTGACCAAACACAAAAATAATTAGTTTGATTTGGAGAGAATTACGCATGCCAGAAAAACCTAAAACCTCTAATTCGGCAAACAAAATAACCTTTAGTAACGGCAAATCCGCATCAAAAAGTCAAACACTAAATACAAATATCAACAAACTCCTATTGAGTTTATGAGAATTACTAGACTAAAATAAACACAGAAACAAGGACACTGCACCACATCCTCTCCAACAAACCAAAGAGACTCGTAACACCATCATGGCTAAACCTCTTATTTTGCATAAGCAAAACCAGATCCCACACAAACCGACAACAATCACTTTTCCAACTCCAAACATTGAACTGGAGCAAAATCCATGTGAGTGGACCAAAAGCTGCAATAAAATGATGGTGTCTATAGTGGATTGCAGTACTTCCTT